ACAACGAATTTGATGAGTGTTCTCGTACTGCGTTTCCACATGCATACAAGTACATAAATGTAATATCACACCAGGTTCAGTCCATATCAGATTTCAAACCCAGGTTCCATTGAAGATTTACAACAAACAAAAACATGCAAATGGACGCCATTGACTGCTAAATACCCTAGACACCATCATCGCAATCAGAAACACATCAGAAGCTGGAGTATTGCATTTGTTAGTCACAGCAGAACAGATGTGGGCAGTAAGCTGTTGTTCGTGGCCTTTGTGAATAATATGTATGACTAAGTAGTGCCACAACTGATTACATCCGTAGAAAGGTCATTTAAAGACCAGCAAGAGCTCTCGAGATAACGACAGGTGAACGTAGTTCGTCCCATTAGTTAGAAGTAAGCGCTAAAGAGAATAACCAGTCCTGACCATCCACCGGAACTGATTACATTTGCGAAATAGCCTTGAAAATTACATGAACAGGCCACTGTAAATTACACATGCCATTGTTCGCAAACTCGGATCCAGATTTGCGCAAATGAAGCATGTTCACGGCGTGCTGATTGTTGTATGCAGAATAATAGTATTGTTTCTGTTCAGAGAATGTGGCCTGCTAAATGATATACATTTGTCATACATGAAAGAGAACATAATTAAACATTCATAGGCGGTTTTAGGTTTTTATAAAATTGTTTAGCTTATATCTGAGAGTATACTATAATAGTGCAATAAACGGGTCTCTTGTTTACACACAGATGATGTAAATATCATGCAACTATGAAATAGGATATGTCATCTTTTTAGTCACAGTTTGACATCCAAACAAGTTTCAGGCCCCTGGATGTGTTTGCAATAACATAGCTATAACCAGCAGGGGTGGTTTTAACATGAACGTCGACTGAATGTTTATAGATCATGGGTAACCAACCATTAACTGTTTCGAAGTGTGTATAGAATTGTTAAAAGTCTCTTTCCAGGGGCGTAGCTGCAGTTATAGAAAAAAGCCGGGCTTACACATGATTGTTGCTAAAAAGGTTGGGCAAGCACTCAATACTATCTACATTTAAAGCTTTGCAACCTATGGGGCTTACACGAAAAAATTGGCTTGCTACGCGCTTGCATTCCGCTGTCGGGTAAAGACGGTAGCCCAGTCTTTATCACGCTTATCCGCTTCACCCAACAACATCGACTGAAGGCAACTGAAACGTTCCAGTTGCAGCGTCTCGAATTGGGCTTGAGGACAGAACCTGGTACTCATTTAAGAATCAAACAACGATTGTGTTTGGTGCTGATGAACATAGATTCTGGACCAGTAACGATTACATATTTCATATTAGAATTCGGACGTCATGTTTCTCACTGGATAAGAGCCTGTCCTGCGGTCCGTGTGCTGGACAAGGGGTATTTGTATTTGTCTATTTTCCTTACGCCTCTCTGAAAGTACACTCAAATAGTGCATATGCATGTACACACGCACGCACAATCACTCAATGGCTCCCTGCAAGAGACGTATTCGTGATCGCACCCTTTGGAATTATGGGTAAACAGTCTTAATGACTTCAAGAAGTGCGCAAACAGTGACAAGCCACGATGACATATCACAGAACATACCAAACAGAAATATCTGACCTCTTGAATCTACCCCCTAAGCTTCCAAACCCTATCTCTACCCAAAGTCCCCTATTCGGTACCTATGGTATCCAATTGATTTTCAGCAATATCCAAAAGCACGTCTTGCGGAAACCTTAAGACTCTCTACCCAAAGTCCCCTATTCGGTACCTATGGTATCCAATTGATTTTCAGCAATATCCAAAAGCACGTCTTGCGGAAACCTTAAGACTTTCTGTACAATAGTGAACACAGGTCCCTGCTACATATCTGCAATCTATCTTAACAAATTGCCCTGGCAATCGCGTTCTCGTTTAATAGACAAGGAACAAGACTGTCGTCTTTGTTCGCTCGTCGAGGTCATATTTCTGTCGTTTTCAGGATGTGATAAAAATGTCTATTCTCTGCCTAGAAACAATCAAAGATGTCGCGCATATCGATCCAGGTTATTTTAGTGTTCTATTTTTGTCATTAACTAGTTTATATCGACCGGAAACTGGCTGATCACCTCCGTTTGTCCTTTACGAAACGTGTTCGGTACTTGCTCTTCGGTACTGGTCATCAGGTTCAGGAAGAGAGGCCCTCATCAGTAACGTTTTCATGATTTGTGTTGTTTGTTTGTTTTATTTTATAAGATTAAATGAATTTTGATTGTTCCATTAATCCATTGATGGGTTTCCGGATTAGACTTAAAGGTATCATAACATGTACTTCTGCCTGGGAAAATGTCACAAATAGAATAATGCCGGTGGGTATCAGAACCAATTATTATGTTTGTTAGGTCACGTCTTCATGGCAATGTATACATAACTAGAATAATGTGCATTGGTAGTGAAGTGAAGGAAACAGTATTTAAGTTGGTTGGTTGTTTAACGCCGCACTCAGCAATATTACAACTATATGGCCGCGGTCTGTAAATAATCGAGTCTGGACCAGACAATCCAGCTATCAACGGCATAAGCATCGATCTGCGCAATTGGGATACGATGACATGTGTCAACCAAGTGAGCAAGCCTGACCACCCGATCCCGTTAGTCGCCTCTTAAGACAAGCATGGGTTCTAATATTTAAGTAGTTTCGATACATTTAAACATATATTGATGAAAAGTGTAAAATGAAACTTTAACCACCTGTTTGGTTTTTCGATAGTACCTATATGCCGAGTAGAGGCCGCCATTGTGCAGTCATTGCCTGTTACAGTGAAACGCCAGCGCAACGTACCTAGGGAACCAGACCGTCGTACCTGTACTCTTGTCCTTGACCTTGCACGCCATCATCGTTCACATTCAGGTTTGTTGGTAATTGTTCCAATTCTGCTAATCAAATACTGAAAGATTGAACGTATTGAACGTTGGACGTTGACTTCTGCTAGGTTCCAGCTTGCTGATAGCCCGTGGACGGATTGTGCGTTGGAGATGGCGCATCACGAGTTCATGTAAAGAAAATGAAACGACTTTACAATCTACAGAATCACAATACATACATACATACATACATACATACATACACATACATACATACATACAGACATACAGACACACAGACACACACATACATCATACATACATACATACACACACATACATACATACATACATACATACATACATACATACATACATACATACATACACACACACACATACATACATACATACATACATACACACACACATACATACATACATGCATACATACACACACATACATACATACATACGTACATACACACACACTCAAACACACGCACGCACGCACACACACACATATATACATACATACACACATACATACATACAGCCCTTGCTCGTAGTTAAACGTGACTAACGGGATCGGGTGGTCAGACACGCTGACTTAGTTCGTGTAGGCCACTAAAGATCCATCTGCGTAGTTCAATGCTTCCCGTGTCAATCACTGGATTGTCTGACACAGATTCGATTATTTGCATACCGCCGTCAAATAGAAATTAACATTGGTGACTGTCGGTTTGAACAACAGCAACAGGAGCAGCAACCACAACAGCAACAAAAAACAAACAAAGAAGTAACATGAGAATAAGTACATTAGAAAATTTGCGGTGTGACGTAAAATCAAACGACAAATGTGCTCTTTATCTTTCAGTAAACTGTGTTTGCAACGTTACAGTAGCCAAGTGAACGGACCAGTCTACTGAGGCGTTGATAGATAACCTTTCTCTTTAGAATCTCTTTTTCAAGCACATGTACGCCAGGAAGAGGTATTTTACGCCCGTTTCCTAAGATTCATTGTTGATAAACATTGCCTCGGAAGTGTCTTTCGATTTATATGAAAGTTTTCTTCTGGGATGAATTTATCTTACACTTTTATACCCGACATCAACCACACTTTCTGGGCTTGCCATAAGAATTTACTTCAGTTCACCGAAAACTACTTCACTGAAAACGTATGAATAATGATGCCAATTAATACTCACTGTTTCAAGTTTGTGTTTGACATACTGAATGGGCCACACAACCTTGGCAACGAAAAATGGGGAAGAGGAATAATTCTTCACGGATCCGGTTTCGTCAAATATGGAAGCATCGTTACGCCAGTGCCCTCCTTGATTGGCCGATGCACCAGGGGAAAAGGAACAATTCCTCTCTAACCCTGCTTTCGTCAAAATATGGAAGCATCCTTACATCAATGTCCTCCTTGATCACATTTCATCTCATTCACTGTCGGTAAAAGTCAAGGTCACTGTCCACCGTTCAGTTCCAGCGTTGGTAGGGTAACCTAGCCGCTCGTCACGCTGAAGACCCGGGCTCGATTCCCCACATGGGTACAATGTGTGAAGCCCATCCCTGGTGTCCCCGCCGTGATATTGCTGGAAATTTACTAAAAGCGGCGTAAAACCATACTCACTCACTCACTCAGTTCCAGCGTCACCTGGTTGTCCTCGGCAACCACAAACTACTCCATCCCAGCAAAATAATATTCGACAACAACAGTACACCAGAAAAATAATCTTGCTGATTACCAATATGTTGAAAACCTATTGAGAAATGTACCTAATGTTTGATTGCCCTGCCTTTGCATGTGTTTGTGACTGATGCCAAGGTTGGACAGGGTCATCTTTTGCAAACAATTTGTACCAACACTACAATTCATAAACACATGCTGATGTAGTACAAATTAGGATAGTGGAAATGGACATACATTATCATGCAAATGATTCAATTTGTTTTTTAGAGATGTACATTATTGGCATTAAATTGACTACAAAAGTATACCCAAATGATCACACACCTCAACAGTGTGATGTTACTATGTGTAAGGTTGAGAGTATATATCGAAACAGTATAGGAGTGTACACGTTGCAACCATCAAGGACAACGTGATACACGTATCTACATTATCAGCATTCCGCCATGTCCGATATCACCAGATAACAAAGAGGTCAGTGTAGCTTCAAGATGAAGGTAGGTAAACCGTTGCACTGTATTCTCACAGTTGAATGAACATAAATATGTAAAAGAAATATATGTTAATAGTGTCTTCATCGTAGCATTTCGAACTGCGCTTTAATCGGAATATTTCGTACACATTTGACCATTGCTTCTTTATATATCGTGACACTATATCTCACCTGATTGGGGACTGATGTAATATTTATAAATATCTTTGAAAAGTTGTTACATATATACGCAGTTATTTAGTTCATGCCTACCCATCATATCATCATTTCGCCCCCCCCAAAACTCAAGAACGGTGGTTGAAATACTGTTTCCAAAAACTTTTGTGTAAACATGTATATAAATATTTTCAAATATTTTCTTCTAAACTTGAGAAGTATGAGTGTGTCTGTTGAGATATGATTCTCTTACAGTCTAAGTGTCTTTTCACTACTTTGTGTGACCTCCTTGCCCTGCAATACACGCCTGAATTCGCCAAGGTACACTACCGATCAATGTTTGTAGGAAATCGTATGGCACAGTATCCCAATATTCGATCACTTCCTTCTTCATATCCTCAATATTTCAAAGTCCTTTTTGGTTTATTCTGTCCTTCATTAGTCCCACACATTCCCCATAGGGTTAAGATCTGTCGCTGGGCCAGTCGAAAAATTGAACAGTTTCTTCCGACAACCAGTTTTGTGTAACCCGCACAGTTTTGTGTTTTGGGTCGTTATTATACTGGAAAATCCAATTACATGTATCTTCATAAAGTGTTCGTACCGTTGGAAGGAGGTGATCATTTAAGATGTCAACATATCGTTCCTTCGTCAAATTTCCAGTAAAAATACACAACGGCGTCACCACGTGATGAAATTTCGCGCTATGTTTTGGCGTTGGTAGGTTTCACATTATCTTTTGTCCACATTATCACACAGTTGGGAAAAAGCCAGACAAAAGTTTTATCAGTTTCCCAATCTTGATTTTCGTGGGCCCTATACCAGTTTAAAAGTTGTTCTTGCTTTCATCAATGGTGAGGGAATTCCGCGCTTTTTCATCCAGTTAAGTCTGTGTCATTCTTGTTTAAGGATTTCATTACATGCATGAGGACTTCCTCTAATAATCATCTCCTTTCTGATATTCTGAACGCTTTTCAATTTTCCCCTACTCACAATCTTACCAAGATGCCAGCGATCCGCAGTACTGAACTCCATTGGCCTCCCTGCCCTTATGCTGACTGGATAGTCTTCAAAGTTCTGTATACTGTAGACAGAGGAATGTAATGTCTATCAGCTAACTCTTTTACATTACCCCTTTCAAAATCATCTAGAACCAGCTTTCTTTTCTATTCTGCTGTCAAATCTGCCATGTCAACAAAGGAAGTCGTCTGCTACACCAGGGAGGATAACTCTTGATATTTTAAGGTTCATTTTTAAACCTACAAGAATTGCCGCCCATAATGAGTACATTACTACAATGTAACACATATTTTACAATTCTGTTATCAGTATTAGGAAACAGATTTTCTCAATAATTTGTATGCATGTATGTATATATGTGTGTGGGTGTTCGTGCGTGTGCGCGTGCGTGTGTTTGTTTGTGTGTGTGTGTTTGTGTGTGTGTGTGTGTGTATGCATATATGTATGTATGTGTGTAGCGATGTTGAAGTATAGCTGTTAACATATTTTTGATGGGTGTGGATTCCGATCTATGCATTCATACACACAGGATGTTGATACGCTTTACGGGTCCATGTTTTTAAAAACAACAACAAAAAAAACAACCCAGAGCGTTGTACATATCAGTAAAACCATATAAAGCTGAAGCCCAGCGATATTCCAGCTATATTACTGTGGGTGACACCGGAAATGGCCTTCGTACATTTTACCCACTGGGAAATCGAACCCTGGCCTTCGACGTGACGAGCAAACACTTCAGCCACTAGGCTAATCGCCGCCCCAAAAGGGACAGGTATCACTAGTGCATCACTAGTGGACAATTAAACACAACCTTTGATATGACCTTATCATGTTGACAAGGGACCTTTGCACTGACCGAGAATGTTGTCCCTGAACTCGTGTGGGAAGCCGATTTCTGTTGTCACCACGTAATAATGCAACTCACTCGCTTCTAGTGTATGACTGACTGACTGACTGACTGACTGACTGACTGAGTTTAGTTTTACGCTCCTTTTAGCAATATTCCAGCAATATCACGGCGGGGGACAACAGAAATGGGCTTAACACATTGTGCCCATGTGGGGAATCGAACCCGGGTCTTCGGCGTGACGAGCCAACGCTTTAACCACTAGGCTACCCTACCGCCTCTCTAGTGTATGAATATTCATTCATTCATTCATTCATTCATTCATTTATTCATTCATTCATTTAATAGTATTTTATTTATTTTATCTATTTAGTTATTGTATTCATTTTATTCATTAAATTTTGTTCTAGTTTCTGTTATTTTGTATGATTTATTTTATAAACAAATTGTTTTGTCTAATTTTTCTTTTTGGGGGTTTTTAATTTTTATTGGAGGGGGGTGATAGGTGGGGTGGGGGTGTTAGTCCTTCTAGTAATGCTTATTTACGTTGGTATTATTGGTGGGTTTTATTTGTTTGTTTGTTTTCCGAACGGTTCATTCAGCAACTTTCCAACTATATGATGCCGGTCGCAAAATAATCGAATCTGGTGATTGACATAATGACTCTTAATGAGCATCGACCTGTGCAATATCGATACGATGATTTGTGTCATGTAGGTCAGCGGGCCAACCTTACGCCTTTTACGTAGGTTTGTGATGATTAACCCCTAGTCTACAAGGGTCAATTTCGTTATAGGGACAGTATGATTACAGAGATTAAATCGTTTTTTCGACTCCAACTTCATTCTGTCATCCGAGCCACACACAATGTGTACATCTGTATTTCCTACATGGAAATGTATAGGGGTGGGTATTGTAGGGAATTTTCATATTGCGATATATTGCGATGCAAAAGCATGTATTGCGGTACGTATTGCAATATATTGCATGAGGTATTTTTAAACAAAAAATATTTATAATCGAGTTAATGCTTGATTTATAGAGCAAAACCACAACAAAATCACCATGCTTGATTACGCTTTAATATCAACTTTTATTTTAACATGACAAAATAAGAATGTGAATAATATTTGGCACAAATGAAAAAAGGAATATCCGAAGATTTCCGAGTGTTACGAAGTTTTCCGAATGCAACTCAAAGTACCGGTTTTCGATCAGCGTATCGCAAAACGTATCGTTTTCATGTCTGAACCTGTAAATACCGGTAAACCGGTTATATTGCGCAGCCCTAGAAATGTATGATATAGTTTCAATTTTGACCATGTGAATTGTCAGCTGAACAATTGGCTTACCTTTACCTACGTGTTCGTAGTGGGTGCTACAGGGAGGTGAGTGAGTTTATTTTTACGCCGCACTCAGCAGTATTCCAGCTATATGGCGGAGATTGTAAACAATCGAGTCTGGACCAGACAATCATGTGATCAACACCATGAGCATCCGCATTTGGGATACAATGGCATGTGTCAACCAAGTCAGCGAGCCTGTCCATCTACAGGTAGGTAGGGTGTGATATCACATAGTATGGTTGCACAGGCTTATGATGTAGTCTAATATGGACTAATTTCTTATTATTAAGGAAAAGTTGTCGGTTGTATTTATTTGAATATCAGTTCATTCATTTTGTTATTTGCAGGTATTATTACTTCTCGGGCTATGGCTGGTGTCGGCGCAAACCGGCACTGCCCAGGTGTGCAAATTCTCTGCAGCCTCAACAGTGGGCCCTAACGGTGAGCTTCCCACAAATAATACTGAGGGCGTCCCAAAAGTAGTCAGCCTTACTATATTCTCGATGTCCAATGTTAGAAAAGCTTCCATTTTATTTTGGAAGAATCATTACCAAAGCCATATCCAAAATTTCACACATGTGGGTAATGTGGTTAACGAGATATTAGTCATCACAACACATTGGGGTATAATATATCTTTAAAAATTGCAGAAAGTGAAAAACGATGTCATTTTGTACATCTTGGATAATGGTGTGCCCTCAGATAATATCATATAAAATACATGTATGTTCAGTATAGTATTGGATGACTTCCCGTCAAAATCAACATTCAAAGATTTGGATTGCTTGATTTATATTTAGACGAGGCTGTTTTTGAAGGACACCCCCATTTTAATCTTTCAAAAACACTGTGTCCAGATATTCAAGCTGGCACTGTTTACAATATATTGAGTGCTGACACATTCAGCATTTAGTTTGACCCCTTGGCATCATGTATGAATAAGTGAAAACATTAGCATAAATTATGTCCTTATGATTACGTCATCTGAAAGGGGTTGGGTACTGTCTCCAAAACAAGCTCTTTCAGTAAACATCATGGGGGAGTCACTTTGGGGGATTGTACTTTCAAATTGCATTTTTTATGCACTAGAGGACTTCTGCCTATCTCAAACACAAAATATTTCTTGCATATTTTGCTTCCTGAAGTTAGTGATGCATTAATTGCAGATTTTGCGTTTTGGGGGGGTACCAAGATAAAGAGTCAAACAAAATGGGGATCGTGAGGCTGGAACATGGCAAAAGCAATTTGCTTGAGGTTGACAGATAATATGTAAAAACATAAAACAGCTGCTTTTGTATAATTTTCTAGGTGAGGCCGACTACTTTTGGGACGCCCCTCGTATATCCCTTGTTGGGATATGATAGCCTGATTACTTGATGATGCGGGTCAATTCAGTCTCGATAAGATAACACTATGTAGTTCTGTTATCTCGAATGACTGGAGTATATCTTAAAAGCTCCAATAACGAGGTGGACGAGAACAGAGCAAATACGTTGACGATAATTATTACAAAAATATTTACAAACTATCGTATATGTGTTAGAGATAGGGGTAACATAAAGTGGGGATAGGCGGGATTGCGTTTTCAATGACGGGTGGCCCTGTGGCCTAAGGCGCCGCAATTCGCTGCGCAGAGTTATGTCCCTTTGCACTCAGATACTTATCCTCTTTGGTTCGATTCCCGGTTCGCTCCGATTATATTTCTGGGTGTTCAGCATTGTACCCGTGCTTGTGAGTTTCACCAGAGTGGTAAACGTATGTGTCCTACACCAAATTTGAGTTTTCCCCCACAAACAGGATGTCGTATATAATAGTATGATACTGTTCAAAGCGGGGATAAACGCACTCACATATATTGGATAAATTGCAAAACCTGGTTTCGCGGCGTGTGGTTTGGAAATCTAAGCAGGCTTCATGTATGTGTTTTCTTATCCGGTCACGAGTAGGTATGGCAATTTATGAAAGATTAATTGTATTATATTGGTGGATGGTCATGATTATGGCGGGGTTACGACAATGAGACAGATGATGAGGAATTCCGAATCTACCAAGTACAACATAACCTCATAACATGACATCGCGAAACTTGAACATGACATCACTAAACTGCATGACATCACGCAATTACAACATGACATCAAAACCGTTGCAAACTTACATGGCACACGACACATTAACATGACATCACGACACTCCAACATGACATCACGCAATTACAAGATGACATTACAACCGTAAGGCAAGACATCGGTACACTTCAACATGACATTACAACACTTCAACATGACATCACGAAACTACATGACATCACGGAATTACAACATGACGTCGCAACCTTACAACATGACATACGACACTGTAACATGGCATCACACAGTTACACCAGAACATTTCGATATGAGATTACACAGACATCGAGTATATTATGATACCGCGGCGCTTATTGACATCGCAACGCAACATGAGATCGCATTTTTTCAACTTGACATCACACACCTTGATTATATAAAATCTCTACAACATGAGTGAGTGAGTGCGTATGATTTGAAACCGCTTTTAGCAACATGACAACAACAGCATGGCGGGGACACCAGAAATGGGCTTCACACAATGTACCCTAATGGTGAATCGAACCCGGGTCTTCGGCGTGACGAGCGAACGGTTTAACCACTAGACTACCCCACCGCCCCTTCTACAACATGATTTCACAAAATGATATGACATCAAAGCGCTACAACACAACATTATGAAATTGCAACATGCTTCATCAAAACCACATGACATCGCTCCAGTTCCACGCCGCGATACTTTAACATAACACAACGAGACAAAGACATGGCATCAGTTGAAAATTGTTGAGTGAAGAAAGTAATAAAGTAACTAACAAACACAAAAAAACTTCTTCGCGCAAGTGGTATGACATGGCACCACAACCTTACAACTTAACAAAACGGTACTTTCATGACATTACAAGAATATAATAAATTTCAACCATTTGTTGTTTTACCCCTCGGGATTTGCTCCAAACTGTTTCCCTTGATGTTTTAACGTAAGAATGCAATGCAAGATGAATGGGATAGCCCAAAGAACCACAGCCTTCCAGGTTGTGTCCCACAGCCCTCCAGGTTGTGTCCCACAGTGGCTTAAATAGCCCAATTTCATGCACTTCTTTCTTTAACCGTTTCTGTAACTTCTTCCAGATCCCCGACTTCCACACGCGCTACCTCCATCCTTCCAAGTCACCATAGAGGGCGCTCTCATTGACAGGAACTGTAGCGTGGTGGCGGAGGAATATTTCGACCTAGATTCACAGCGATCTGCCATGAAGATCACGCAGAACGGACAGATCGAGTACCTGTATATAAACATGAATACCAATGAGAGCTACCATATTACCAGTAAGCACTAAATATGGAACTATCAAATTCTATGGGTTTTGTTTGTTTGTTGTTTAACGCCGCACTCAGTACTATTCGAGATATATGGCGTGGTCTGCAAATAGAAGCGACAAAACCCTTTCCACTTTCATAAGAAATCTCTACTAAAAGCAGAGTCGATTATACAGTTGTGACTATATCATGAGCAGATGTTTGTTTCAGCAGTATTACAGCTGTATAATGTTGTTTGTAAACAAATTGGGTCTGAACCAGACAATCCAGTGATTGTCACCATGCGATACGATGACAGAGCATGTGTTTATGAATCACTATGAAATACATAATAATTAAGTCTGGACCAGGCAATCCAGTGATCGACAGCAAGAGCATCGATCTATTGGGATACGATGACATATGTCAAATAGGACAAACAAGTCAGGAAGCCTGACCACCCGATCCCGTTAGTCGCCTCCTACGACAAACATGGGTTACTGAAGACCAATTCAAACCCTGATATTCCCCATGGGTTATAAGAATGAATAGAAAAACTGAAGACAATTTACTTTTGAAGGGAAAAATAAACAAATTAGAACCATTTTTGTCGTTGATATATGTTGTGCCATTTATTTTAAAATGAATATCTGACCGTTAATTATGATTCTCTGTTAAAGGTATCTTTGCAATATAATCAAATGAGAATAGCTATTAGGTGGAAACTTTGACCTGATTATCATCAGCAGCACCTTTGAGGATCAATGGATGGGTCCCAGTATCCTAGGAGATGGGGTAGCCTAGTTGTTGAAACGTTCGCTTGTCACGAAGAATACCCAGGTTCGATTTCCCACATGGGTACAATGTGTGAAGCCCGTGCCCTGTCTTGAAATTGCTGGAATATTGCTGAAAGCGACGTGAAACTAAACTCACTCACTCACTCACAACATCCTAGACATTTGTAGGATGGTATTAAAATGAGGATCAGATGCTGGTTGACAGCATGGGTGTATATATGCTCATTCTTTCAATCATTGGTTTGCGATATCAGGTTTACTGGACATGACATGAATATATTAAATGTGGCGTAGAACAACATTAACTAACTATAACTGAATGAGTGAGATGGGTTTTACGCCGCCTTTAGCAATATTCAAGCATTATCACGGCGGGCTTCAAACAATGTACCCTAATGGGGAAACCGGGCCTTCGGCGTGACGAGTGAACGCTACAACTACAAGGCTACCCCACCGCCCCAACTAACTACAAGAAGAGCCCATGTGTACATAAACTAACAGTGGAACGCCATTTATGATTTATTAAGACTGACTGACTGACTGAGTTTGGTTTTACGCCGCTTTTAGCAATATTCCAGCAACATCACGGCGGGGGACACCAGAAATGGGCTTCACACATTGTGCCCATGAGGGGAATTGAACCCGGGTCTTCGGCGTGACGAGCCAACGCTTTAACCATTAGGCTACCCCACCGCCCCATTTATTAAGAAGTAATTCGAACTTAAACGTACATGGTATCAACTGTTTTCTTGGGAATTATCTCTCGATGTTGTGACCACTACTTTGAACACATTAATTAACCAGAGGTTATTTCTGCTTTTGATTGCATTGGATGATGTTGTTGAAACATCGTGTAGCATGAATTATGAAGAATAAAGTAGCGTCTATTTTTGATCGGTCCTAAGCTTTCTGAATGAAAATTGGTTTGTTCTGTAGATGTTTCTCTTCTGTTTTACCAGACAACAACTGCACCGTCAAGAACCAAGCTTTGGATAGTGATGATGCCTTCATCGGCGGGCGTATGTCGAACAGCAAAATGACTCACACCTACTCAACAAGTTCTGTACTGAAGTTTGCTCAAAAGTACGGGGAGGTATGAACAAAGACCTTATTTTGGCTCACACGTTATGCCTATATTTTGTTTATTTGTTTGTTTGTTGTATAATTCCGCACTCGGCACTTTTTCAGCTATCACGGAGGTGTGGTAATCGAGTCTTAATCAGACAGTGATCAATATCATGAGCACCGAGTTTTCTTGGTTGTGCAATGCTAGCAATCGTGAAACTGTTTTCATGAACGTTTCAATTGTGAAATCCTTCAGAGGTTCACTGGTTGTAAAGCTTGTTTACATATTATTCGAGCCATATATCTGGCTTTGTCTTTGTCTATGTTTGTATTCATTAAGAAATAAATCAAGACAACATCTAACCTTTTGTCACCCGTGATCCGGGTTAGAATTGGTCTTCAGCAACGTATGCTTTTGGTTAGAGTCGATTAACGTGATCGGGTAATCAGGCTCGCTGACTATTTTGACAAATGTCATCATACCCTGAATGTATAGACGCTCATGATGTTGATTACTGGATTGTCTGGCCGAGACTCGATTATTTACACACCACCGCCAGAGGTGCTGAGTCCGGCGTAAAACAACCAATAAACAAAATCTTATATTATGTCAGATTGACTGACTGACTTTAGTTTTAGCAATAGTCCAGCAATATCACGGCGGGGAACACCAGAAATGGGCTTCACATTGTGCCCAAGTGGGGAATCGAACCCGGGTCTTCGGCGTGACGAGCCAACGCTTTAACCGCTTTAACCACGAATGTTCAATGTTTTGTTTCTAAATTTAATGTTGATTACAATTATTGGTTGTCGATTGGCTGGTTGTTTAACGCCGCACAGATTGTTACAGCTATATGGCGTCTGTCAGTATATAATCGAGTCTGGTCCTGGCAATCCAGTGATCAACAGCATGAGCATCGATCTACGCAATTGGGAGACACCAAGAAGGGGAACGTTATGCTATGTTAATTTGTTTTCTGAAGGTTTACATTGGGCAGTCTACGATTCGGGGTGTCCTGTGCGATCACTGGCAGTCCTGCATGTACTGGAGTTCTCTCGGCGTCAACTTCACCCTCGACTACTACTTTTCAGGTATTTACGACGTGTACAACCTCGATAAACTTTTTGTCAGAAACTCCACTTCCCGAAGAATTACTGTACCCAATGTCCATACACATGTACGTGTAAAACTTCCAGTTGACAACAAAACGGAACCAAACTCTGGGTATTACACCTTAAAAACTGTGAGTGAGTGAGTGAGTTTAGTTTTACGCAGCTTTAGCAATATTCCAGCAATATCACGGCGCGAATATAGTAGGAGTGAATGAACGTATGAGTCAAGTTAACAATGAAGTAATGAAGGAAAGAACACGTTCACTTGACCGTACCGATTGACCAAAAGACGGATTTTATTAATTTGAAATCAAACAAAATTACATTTTTAAATAAACACAATGGCATAATTTTTAAAACTCAAGAAACGCACCATCAACAGAAGTATTAAAAAAACATTTGTCAATAAAAATTATTGACACACGAAGCAGGAATCTATAATTATTCAATGGTACAATTGACAGTAAGTAGTTAAAACACAAAAACATCAAAAAGAAAACACACCAAAACAGGTCATTCTATATAGTAACATGTGCTATGTTTGGGATTACACTTTCTTAGTAAAAGAACAAATTCTAGTACTTTTCAGCAGGATAGACGGCTGAATTTATGTGCTGGCGAATTTGTGCTTTACTAAGAAAGTGTAATATCAAATATAACATATGTTACATTTGACCACTTTCTAACTGGCATTGTGTATTCATTATATACAGGACTTCTGAATATTCGCATTTCTTGAGAACTGTGCATCCAGGTACATTTTTCTACATATACATACATACATTACATACATACATACACACACATATGCATACACACACACACACACACACACACACACACACACACACACACACACACACACACACACACACACACACACACACACATACATGCACATACACACATGCATGCACACACACACACATACATACATACACACACACACACATGTAGAACAATATTTTGTAACTATTTCATGATTGTGCTATAGCCCTCTCATGGACAAGTGCGGACGGCACCGTACAAGTTCCTGTGAGAGCTGAAGTTCAAGGATACAATTCCCTGGTTGGTCCGGGTCCAATGTCAAGCTTCCATCATATATACGATTATATTGGCTTTAAAAGTTACATTGTGGACCCAACGAATCTGGAGGTAAACATAAAAACATTCCATTTACAAATTATTTTTTTTAAAATGTGTAAATGATGATTCAGTTCTATAACCATTGCCTTCATGATTACAAATGTGGTTTAACGGTGGAGACAATGGTCTTGATGTGTTGTACCTATATGGTGACAGAACCAGGGCCTTTGTCGTCATTTGCGCACGCTTTAATTACCAACTACCAAAGAAGTGGTACAAGTACTAGTGGTAGTAGTAGATTTAGGAATAGCAGTATTGGTGGTGGTGGCAGTAGTAGCAGCAGCAGTGGTAGCAGTAGTAGTTGTTGTAGAAGTAGTAATGGTAGCAGTAGCAGTAGTAGTAGTAATAGTAGTGGTAATAGTAGCAGCAGCAGTGGTAGCAGTATTAGTAGTAGTGGTAGCAGTAGCAGTTGTTGTAGCAGTAGTAGTAGTAGTAGCAGCAGTAGTAGTTATAGTAGTAGTAGAAGCAGCAGCAGTAGTAGCAGCAGAAGCAGTCGTGGTAGCATTAGTAGTAGTCGCAGTGGTAGCAGTAGTAGTAGTCGTAGTGGTATCAGTAGTAGTGGTAGCAGTAATATTAGTGGTAGTAGAAGTAGTGGTAGTAGTAGTAGTGGTAGTAGTAGTAGTAGTAGTAGTAGTAGTAGTAGTAGTAGTAGTAGTAGTAGTAGTAGTAGTAGCAGCAGTAGTAGTAATAGGTTTGGTGCGGTTTGGGGCGACCCTGGCACAGTCAGGCTGGTAAGGCTCATCATCAGCTCAGGGCCCTTGCCCCCTCTACACGCAGTCTAGACAGCGAATGGGACTTCTCCCAGGAAGTACTGTCAAATCGAACCCACCAAGAACTTTCCTCAGATTGTTTATAGTATGGCATACAAAAATGAAACAAATATGACACTATCATTGTATATTCATAACTTCTTACTTTATATATGTATGTACATACTTCGATGTTTTTTGTTGAAATGGTTTGGTAAAACTGTATTGCCAAATCACAATACCCAAATCGTGGCGGTGGAATTGGTAGCGGCAGATGAATGGTGGTAGTAGTGGTGGTAGCAGATGAATGATGGTAGTAGTGGTAGTAGCTGTAGAAGCAGCAGTGGTAGTAGCAGATGAATGGTAGCAGTACTTTTGTATTGTTCTTGTGTATTGTTTTTTAGTATTATTATATAATTAAATTATTTCTTGACGGTAAGGGAACAAGAGTTGCACCCCTTTAGCTGTTGGACACTTTAAGTGTCTTGCGTTCATTAGAGTTACTTCCCTTGGTGGCGTTAGCACCAGAGGGCGTTGCTTTCCATTACCATGGCGTCCGCTGTTCGCCGCTTGCACTTAGCGTTACTGCTTTGTGTGCATATATTCCTGTAAAACACCATAGAAGAATCTAAAAATGACGTACGGCCGAAGCGGAAGTCGGCGGGGAACAAAATGCTGACCTAGGATACATTGTATTCTATACAACAACTATTCATATATTAAAATCTGCACAGGCCCTATTTCAGAGTATGTTATATATATGTTCTTGTTCTTTGAGAGTTAAGTCATCATCATAATTTTATCTAGACCCAAAAAGGTGTGGCATGTCCGGGACGGAAGCATACCCGAGCGATGCCGCAGTTAAAACAACATTATCAGTATAGGGAGGAGATAACAGATCAGGATTTGAACATGGTCGTCAATGCCGATGTGAGTAAATATCCATAAGGACAATGTCCATACATGTGCAATACAATGGTAACCGAACCCTATAATATATAACTCCATAAACAGACCCGTGAAGATCCGGGTTAGAATTGGTCTTCAGCAACTCATGCTTGAAGTGCGAAGCGACTAACGGGATCGTGTGGTCAGGCTCACTGACTTGGTTGACACATGCCATCGTATCCCAATTGCTTAGATCGATGCTCATGTTGTTGATCACTGTATTATCTGGTACAGACTCAATTATTTACAGACCGCCGCTATATAGTTGGAATATTGCTGTGTGTGGCGTTAAACAACAATTAATCAATGCTGAAAGCGGCGTAAATCCATACTCACATCTTCACGCTGACGAATCCAGAAACACAAACAGAGCAAGGAGGGTTACGAGCTCACGGTCATAGGTGTCGGACACGCCTAAGGCAGGTAACTCTGTAAGACGATTCGTTTCGCCTTGGACAAATGAGTGAGTGGATGAGTTTAGTTTTACGCCGCACTCAGCAATATTCCATCGATCTGCGCAATTGGGAACCGATGACATGTGTCAACCATGCCAGCGAGCCTGACCACCCGATCCTGTTAGTCGCCTCTTACGACAAGCATGGGTTACTGAAGGTTCATTCTAACCCGGAACATCAAGGGTCTTTTTGACAAATGAACAAATGTTGCTTATTCATAATTAAAGTTTTATTCCTTGCCTTGACGTCATTTACATCTCAGGTGTGGTACGACTACAACTACAAACTCCTCCGTTTCGACACCCGTCCCACGGCACTAGCATACCCGTACTACAGCTACGACGCTGTCACCGAGATACACGACTATAACACAGGTACAGTGGTACAATCTACAAGTGCAGAAAAGAGTCTGGTTGAGGAATATAACAGGGAACATGACCCTATCAAGGGACACACTTTCTATGCAAACAGGAAAAGAAGAAATAGGGCACCGAGGTCGAAATGAAATAGACATAACATTGATAAATAATATTGCATTTTCATTATAAGTCGTTTCGGTTTTGTGAGATCAACAACTGTTTCTTGACTTGCATTTTATACACTCTTCAAAACAAGAGACGCATAGGTCATTTTTAGAAGAATTTATTGCTTTTGTTTCAGATGGATTATTTCATGCAATTTTATCGATTATTTACAGACTACACTCTTGGTGACGCTTTGGCGAATATTTCTTCAAACCCGTCTAAAACCAAGGAAAAGGTTAAACTTGCCACGTTTTGGCGCTGAAGCTGTTTACAATCACACAAAGATGACATTTTGTTTGGAAGAAATATAATATTTGTATTGTTTGTTTTTTTTGCCGCAGTTGCATGAGTCCAATATTCTCAAAATCATCAATGCGTTTCTTCTTTGTTTTGAAGAGTGTATTAGCAATAAATATTTTTTAATTCATAACATTTGTAAATTGGTTTTTTAAGTAAGCAGTTAATTTGTTTAAATTGTTTCAGGGGTTGCCTACATTATTGACAAGTCCTTCCTCAACTGTACCATAGTTCCAATTGAGAATGGAACGTGGGACGCTAGCATGAATGTCTCCCGTTCACATCAAGCCCTTGGGATGAAGAGCCCAGAACAGCTCTTTGACTTGAACCCAACATTTGCCTACTCTGGGCAGGTATGGCGTCTTTGAGTGGGATTTACAAGCTTGTATGGTGAAGAGTATTAGTTTAGTTTATGGATAGACAGCTTCAAGACGTTACGGTGTAGATGTTAACATCGTTTTTAAGCAATTTGATACACAGTATGGACAGGACGAATATATGCATGAAGTATATTTTAGTTTTTCAATTAAGTACGTTTATGTACAGTGAGAGGACATTAGTATTACGTGTTAGTAATAGTGAGCGTTATATACACTGCCAAATCAGATGCTTCCATTCATTAATCACATATTCTTTTAACGTCTGGTGTTATTGTGTATGAACAAACAGCAAGATGTTGTCTTCTCTGGGCATTAATTATATATCGAGTTTTAAGTGAAATCTTAAATATTTCTTGAAAGAGTGAGTGAGTTTAGTTTTAGGCCGCTCAAGCAATATTTCAGCAATATCAAGGCGGGGGATACCAGAAATGAGCTTCACATATTGTACCCATGTGGGGACTCGAACCCGGGCCTTCGGCGTGACGAGCGAATGCTTTAGCCAACCCCACCGCCCATGTCTTGGAAGAGCAAGAGTAATCCGTGCTATCTTATATCATAAATGAGGCGCAAAGCAAAGCTATCTATAAACCAGTCTGCGCGGAAGACCTTCATTGTTTCCCGTGATGCTCAGAATTGGGAGTTTTGTTAGTACGTGTTTGTTTACTTTCGTCAGAAAACGAAATTGGCTTACCTTAAATAAACATGCATCACTGGTGTAAAAGCATGCTGGTAAATTGTGACACAGATTTAATATTACTGTAAGGCTAATGCAAATACTGTGTACCTATAACAAATATAACATAAACAAATGTAAAATAATCTACAGATGAAGAGCCGATGAACGACGAAAGATCTTGTGTTTATAAAGAAACTTTTAAGTGCCTGGATTCTATCTAGTATAGAATATTTATTGATTTTGCAACCAAAGAAATCACTTATTTAGAAATCGCCTTCATACAGCTTATTGCCAATGACCACTGAGAGACGCCATTGTTGTCGGCAACGTCGAAACGTCGCGTATCATGCTTTCTGATTCGAACCAATTCACTTTGAACCTCCTTGAAAGGCGTGAGCGTGTCAATGAAAATTAAAATCCAAATTAAAGGCGTGAGCGTGTGAAGCACAGAAATGAACATCTCGCCAATCTCAAGATAGGTTTGGGTAGGGGGAGCCAACACGATGCTTGGACGAACCCACTGCATTTTGTGCAAGGACGGGTCGTTGGTCTCCATATAGGTGACATACTGACAACCTATTTTCTCCCGTTTGCAAGGCGCTTTGTCAGTAATGTTTTGTTCATGGTGTGGTTATTTCATGTAAATAGTTTACATATTTGTGATATTGATAACCTTGTGTGATATCTACCAGCGGACTGTTCGTGGAATCACTTGCGACGTCTTCACCAATGTACGCACGGACTTTCCAGACAGCGGACTTATGGGAATGCCAGTGACCTTCGATGTATATTTCATGTCGGTAAGTAGATTTAATGCGAGGGACAGTTGGATTTGTTTGTTTGTTAACGGCGCACTCAGTGGTATTCCAGCTATTTGACGGCGGTCTGTAAATAATCGAGTCTGGACCAGACGATCCAGTGGTTAATATCATGAGCACCGTGCCATTCTAGGATTCGATGCTAAGATTAACCTTGGAATGCCAAGAATGGCACGGTATCAAATATAAGAAAATCTCAAAGTTCTGATCTTATAACGACGTGTTAAGATTCTTAAACCGTTAACAGTCTGAAGTCGTTGTACATATTCTAATAATACTCACAAGAGGAATACTAACTGACAAGATGTCATAACTAACTACATGTATTTGATAACCAATGGTACATATGTCGTTGCAATATCCCCAGAATGACTGGATGAGCGACAATGACGTGGGCAACAACGAAGACAGCGTGGACACTCCGGTTCGACTTGAAATCTCGGCGGTGGGGGTAACTTTGTCTTTATTCGTTAGTTTGTGAGAATTTGGCACTCATTTTATATATTGCAAAATATGTTGAGATAGTTCAAAACACGACCTTTGTATTCGTTTTACTGATGCAGTAATAATATGACAAATTGTCATAAGGTTATGACAACATCAGTGAGCAAGTCGTGTAGAAGGCGTCAATTAGAGTTGCGTCCCTTAGAACAGGCCGCAAGGTAGTGTGTCCAGGTGTTTTTTTAATCGTCATGCCGGTGCTATAGGGTCTTTAGCAACGCGATGACATCTAAATCTTTTCCCCCTGTCAGGCATTATCTCTCATTACCATTACAAACAAAAAACATAAAAAGTTGAAAGATGGAACTTGTTGTTACCTTTCCTTGCTATCGGCAATTTGGGGATGAACCTAGCTTTGGCCGCATCCGAGTCGATACGGTTCTGAGGAATATTCATGTTAAATAAGGGCAATGTGTCTCAGAGGGTCAGCACTCGTAGAAGTAGCCACAAGCAAAGATGTGCATGACGTCGCTATTTAAGTGCATCCATCTTCAACTCGGCATTAAGCCAAGCTATGTTTTCTCAGCTCTCGTCCCTGTTGGGCTTTCACCATTTATCAAGCTAACACACTGTGTTATAACAGACCTTTAGGGCCTGTAAGTCTCGCGAGGCGCTACTTTCGATACTAAGCTGGTTCCCGGTTCCCTTTGCGCACGGCAACTTGCGATATGCAAGACGGGGCCAAGCTTACTTCCGGTACCAGATTTCCCGTGACAAGCGTATATTCAAGAACCAGTTCTGGTTCTAAATTGCGTGACCGCCAAATGTAACTTTACTAGACCGGACCAAGTGCATAACCATGCTTGGCTGTCACAGCTGTTGACAGTCGTAATAGTTGGCTAATTTGGGGATGGTAAGATCGGAAACTTCTTATTCCTGCTAGGAATCGGTTCCTTACTGTCAACTGACAACCTTGAGACCATTCGAAAAGGTATGAAACGTTGTTTGTCGCCGGAAGTGCTAAGGTCTCGCGAAGTTCCGTAACCTACTTACGGGAGGTATTGTTTGAAGATGCGTTAAGCCAAACTCTCTGGCTATGAAATTGAAATCAAAGTATTTGAAATCTTATCACAAGTTTTGACATTTGAGACGAAGGAACCATACATATGCAACATTCAAATATTGCATTTTATCTTGTTTTTTTAGAGTGGATACTTTTTGTCGTATGATTTCTACAATTTTGATCAAGAAAACCCAGTGTTGAGGCGCTTTGATATTTCAAAATGCTACACAGACCAAAATAAGATCAACTTCGAGATAACTTTCCCCGGTAAGTATTTTAAGTATTTGCATTTAGAAACATTTCCAGGAACGATATATCCTTGTTTTTGCAAATACAACCCCTTTGTTCTGCGTTTTTGTGAAAGGTGAATGTTCTTTATTTGTGTGTGTGAATACAGACATCTACCTTTCCCCGTGGAGTGCACTGTTGACAACGTACAACTGAGTTTTGCAATATCCCTATAAAACTCCTGTTTTTACAAAGGTTGTGATCCGAGTCTATTTCTGTGTTTCCCATTTCCCATCTACCTTAAATTCCTATCTTTTCCTCAGTTTTCACGTCCTTGTTGAAAATTATGCTGTGATGTAAAAAAGAAAATCTGCCATTATATACTCATAAACACCCACGTCAGTTCGAAATGTCTTCATTTTTGTTCAGTTATAACTCCCGAATTTAAGTGACTCGCCTACGTCATGCATTAATTTAAAGATGGTCCCAAGTGCTTTTAAACTTTAAAATGTAAACATAATTAGGTTGACAAATTGTTTTATTTTTCATTTCTAAGATTTGACCGATACCAGGTTAAAGATGCATTGATTATTTTCTTTAACTGAGGTGGCGAGTATCATGAACAATAGTAAGTCATGGATGTGTCATGATTAAAGATTGAACTTGGAATTGTAATATACAGTATATGATATTCTACTGACAGTGAAAGATATACACCCTAGTTGCCTGGTGGCAGAAATGAATAAAACAGAAATTGTTATGACTTTCTTTTATAGATTTTTAAAGCAATATTTTACATGCACCAGAAAATGAATATCTTACATCGACGTCATCTGGGACATTGGGGTAGCCTAGTGGTTTATGCGTTCGATAGTCACACCGAAGACCCGGGTTCGATTCACCTCATGGGTACAATGTGTGAAGCCCATTTCTGGTGTCCCCGCCGTGATATTGCTGGAATATTGCTAAAAGCGGCGTAAAATCAAACTCACTCACTCACTCGACGTCATCCAATGATGATTTGAAAACAAGTTAGTCAAGAATGCATTGATTGATAACCAATAGTGTACCTTGCACTGAAGTGGACTGACCCAATGAGAATAACTTAGCAAAAGAGAAGACCTTCAATGATGATATTTTGCTTACAGTTGTGAAATATCGTATTCAGCTTGACATGAGAAGTTTGTTTATTATCGTTTTCTTTATCCACAGGTAACTATAACGATTTCCTACTGAACTATCAGACCATTCTGGAAGAACTTGCGTTGGTGGTTCTCGCAAAGACAGCAGGTCTGTCACCTATCCGAATACAACGCCTATCATCGCACTGGGACACGAAGAACGCCTACCTCGTCGGAACCATTCTTGATAAGGCCCCTGACCTGGGTAACATCATAGGATCGGTTTTATAAAACGATCTTTATGTTAAGACGATCTCTGTGGAACTTTAACATTGACTCGAAGAGCCAAGGCCGCTCTGTGAACCTGGTCCTCTTTCCAAAGCGGTCGTTGTGCTATGGCTGTCTTAAAGCTCAGATGCAACCAAAAAAAAGAAACATAATTCAAACACAATTATCACTTATTCATAACATATAATATACATTGCTGATTACGAAAAAACAAAGAAACAAAATTATAAGCGTACAATCGCAAATCAAAAATGCAATATTTTGTACTTGGGTTTACTTCCCTCGAAACGAAGCAGCCGGGATACCGAACCCAGTCAGAGCGGGTGGGCGTGCACTTTAGTGTAACGAAAACTTTCATTGGCTGGTTCATTTGCCGATACACTAAGGACTCTTTGTGTGTGTATAGAGATGTTGGGTTTTGTAAATACATGCTCATATTTTGTGTATAACAGACACCATAACATGTCATGTGTACAAGTATCACACCTGCCTGTCTGTGTAATTACATCATGTGACAGAGACAGAACTCAGGTGCACGAGCCATATATCAATGCGTTTTGTTTATGGGTGTTTTGCCTGATAGGTGTTAAGTTCAAATTGAATTTGGCCAGTAATCGAAGTTGTGTACTGCATATTGTGATTAGCAGACAGGCAGGCAGACACATAGGTATCAATAAAACTGACTTTGAGTTTTGTATGTGACAGAGGCATATCTATATCACAGTTAGAAATTCTGACAATGCTAAATAATGACGTTGCTTTTAAGTATCGAACTGAGAAAGTGACTCGGTAAGAAGAACGTGTGGTGAAATAGTCAAATGAAATTATATAAACAGTTAAATCGGTAATCTACTGTCATAACATATAAAAAGCTCGCCTGTGAAATATCAACAAAAGTCAAAACAATAAAAAAAGTAGCTCACGTCAAAGCCTACTCCGAGTACTCACCGTCAGCGAAGGTTTTCCGTCTTGAAATGTCGAACGCCTCACTGGCTGACACATAGCTGAGTAGATCTAGATCCTTAACAAGGTTCTCAAATGTAACGAGTAGATTATTTACTATTTTCTTTGTGTACACAATAAAGATTAGACTTCTCCTGCTCACGACCTTATAACTCGGGTATACGGTTTCAAGTTGCGCGAATCTATTAACTGCGCATGCGCTATAAGCGCAGCGCAGCACAGCTGTTGAAACCACTTTTCACCCCAGCTGGGGTGAATTTAGTGAATCGTTTGAACTCCTTTTTCGAAAGGAACTCCATACCGAAAGGTATAAGAATCTGCAAAGTTTCGCGTTGCATGTAAGCTTTAAGTAAGTGTTTAAGTGCAGGTGTTACGCTAGTCGCAGCACTAAATCGCTTTATTAATATGGACCCAGGGCTCCTTGCTATTCTATAATGGTGTATTGGATATAACTAGTGCTTTGGTTTAGTTTGGTTAATGTGTACCGTATTTGCCATATAGCACAAGTGTGCGAAAAGTTTCCAAATTTTGCTAGCCAGTCGGGCTAGCTATGCCTGAAAGTTACTCGCCCACAGAATAATTCACTAGCCCGAAATGTGAATGTAGAAACTAAGAAATAGATTACAAAAGCAGTGTGCGAAATTTACGCTGGTCCTGTGTGCCCTGGCTAGTGAGAATTCATCAGGACCACTAAATGATTCGTTTGCAGTGGTCCTGGTTGTCAATGAATTTTGGATTGATAGTTAGTAAATATACGAATGTTATTTTGGACCAGTGAAGTACAGACAGGACCGCTAATTATTGTCCACTGATTGGTCCTGTGGTCTAGTGGGAATTTTTGAAAGGTTTCTTTCCCTGTCCAAAAGGTAAAATACCATCATTTATCAGGTCATAATATTGCATGATATAAACGCGTATTATATTTTTACAAGTACGAGTAATATATTTAGAAAGTGACACCATGAAAATTCACTAGCCAGTCGGGTCTGTGATTGTGGAGATTTACTGGCCCGGCTGGATGTTTACTAGCCACAGGCTAGCGGTCCATTGGCTATTCTGCACACTGGGCACGACGCTGGGATCTGGTGAGCTCAACAAGGGTACTGGCATGCTGCTTGAGCTTTATTTCGTTGATGATATCGGAATATCGGAGGCTTCGCGAAGGTGTGGATTAAGTGGCTGTAGGGGCACAATTTGTGGCTGTCGTTTAACAATGAAAACAACAGTAATCCAGTCATATGGCGGCTGGTAGTAAATAACAGAACAATCCAGTGATTGGCATCATGAGCATCGATCTACGCAATACATGAACCGATGCCATGCATGAAACATGACAGCGAGCCTGAACGCACGATCCCGTTAGTCGCCTCTTGGGACAAGCATAGGTGAATGAAGACCAATCCTTTGGGAATGTTTAGGCACAAGAACACGATTGGTACCAAAAAATATACAGTTTTGTACTCTGATCTGATGGCAGTGATGCCACGGATCATAAATATAGCGTAAAGAATCTCAAAACTCTCATATTTTGCAGGCTATTATCACAAAGCTGAAACACCAGATCCTGACACTTTTAAGGGGAAAAAATTTAGAATTCTCATTGTGACGACTTGAACTATCCTTTAATAGATCAGTTGATCACTGGATTGTCTGGTCGAGACTCGATTATTTACAGACCGCCGCCATATAGCTGGAATATTGCTGAGTGCGACGTAAAACCAAACTCACTCACTCCTTTAATAGATCAATAATCTCAATAACACTTAATCTTCCAAACCATGTTTGGCAACAATTCCTTACACATGATTGCTGCTTGATCGGCATTCTAGAAGTTGGCAGTGGAAGTTCCTAATACATGGTGTTGTCTGTTTAGCCAGGTACCGGCGTTGGCCAAATCTGGTGGCGCACTTCAAAGACGACGCCACTGTACAAAACATCAAGGACGCCGTCAGTTGTTCTGCCGTCTGTGAAAAGCAGCAAGTAACTTGCAACAGCTTCGACATCTGCCCAGGACAACAGACATGCGATTTGAGTTTGAATTACACCTCTGATGGAACGGTTCTTCAAAGCAGCGACACCTGTGATCACTATTCGCGTAAGTGAAAATATATTTTGACATGTAAAAAGAAACATTATCTAAAATTAATTTTTTAAGGCCACCACGTGTTAATAAAGATCAAGTTTATTCCAGCCTGTTTGTATGAACAGGGATTGAGACCAAGAGACAGACATTCATATTCGGGGTTTCCTAGTGGTTAAAGGGTCGTGTTAGCACTCCGAAGGCCCGATTTCGATTCCCGACAAAGTCATAACAAGGCCACTTATATAGTGTTGAAATCCACGCCGCATAGACAGGTTATAAGCACATAACATAAAGGACAATATGAATAATGGACCATCGTTGTGGGACAGGACAGTCCTAAAAACTCTCAGGAGTCAACCTGCCAGACACGGTCACCCATCCAAGAACTCGCCGTGACCAACATTACTTAAAGGACAATACGAACGAAACATACGAACAAAATTTTTGATAGATTGTAAAGGATATTCTAAACGTCACCTTCCGTGATTAAAATTAAACAAAAAGTTTGTAAAATAGCAAACGTACTCGTATTTTGCATATTACGGAAACATCCGACAGTTAATGAGCAGAGGGGGTATCACGTGACATGACGTCACATGTGCCTGTTACTGATGGCTTCCTCTTTGATTTTACCTCACAACTTAACAGTGTCCATGGATTCTGAAGCACTAAAAGATGTTCCTGATGTCATTTCTGAAGTGGATGTTAGACCGTATCAATACGATCCGATTTTACATCTTCCAAGACAGTCTTCCAGTGAAGATGAAGAAGAAGAATCAAGCGAAACGAAGGCACCGCTTAAGGTCAAAATAAATTATAAAATAGACCATATCAATACTATTTGTCAGCAAAATGTGATACAGTTCCAACCAGCAAACCCACCCCTATAAATATATGACCAGTCCCTAAGAATAATTTGTTTTGAAATGTGACTGCAGTTCCTTTTGTGTCAAATGGGTGACTGTAGAGTGTCTGGGATTTTAAAACATATTAATTATGCTTCAGACGGGGGAAATTAGAAATTATCTGCTACAAAGATTACACTGGAAGTATTTTGTTGAACAAAATTAGGATCCTAGTTCTCATTAATAACGTATCAAGTCTCATTCCAAGATCCCAGCCTGTTCGAGCAGAGATAATACACGCGACGCAGATAAGTTATTCCCTGAAAACTGGTGAATTATAAAATACTAGTCATGACAATGTATGTTTCCCTAGTTTTTTGGTTATGGAAATAGTTATGGTACTCGGTCATAGCCTTAGAATGACATTTTGTCAGCCAATGAGAATACAGAACAACTTTCACGGCACACACTACTGACAAATAGTGAGTCTGATGCCGACGTAATTGGACAAAATGGAAAACAATGAAAGCAACAAGTACTTCATGATTTGTCATCGTATTTGGCAATGTTTCGGATGGACTGCAGCATTTAGGGCTCCAAACCGAAAAGAACGTTATAGCGAAACATTTTAATTCAAGCTTATGTGAAATCTCTCACTGATTGATAATTCATGGGTACCAGTCAAACTGACAGCTACAAAATGCCCCAGCAAATTTGGTAACTCATTCCAATTTGGTCAATTTATTTAAAATGATTAAATATATGCCGTAAATGCATAGTTTTTGTCAACTTTGATATTAGGTTCTTCATATAAACTTTATTAGGAAGTAATATTTCTGATAAATGTTCCATTAGTAAAATCATAACTATGTATATACTTTTACATGAAGAACATAATATCAATGTTGACAAAACTTTGCATTTATGGCCTATATTTAATCAATTTAAATAAATTTGGGCATTTTGACTACCTGTCTTGGGCAATTTGAACAAAACTCCGGTGCAATTTGACCAAATTTGCTGGGGCAATTTGTAGTTGGGGCAATTCGACTGGCAATCGGACTTTAATGTAATTTATGTCAAAAATACCACTGACAGTAAGTTGTAACAGGGAATGATGGAATCTCGTGGGTACTTCTCCCTTCAGCCTAGGTTTTGGATTTTCATACCCCATGTGTGCATGTCTCTTTCATATGCGCCCGAATCGGAATGATCGGAGCATTTCTCCTGCCTAAATCTGTCTCTTTACTTGGAAAACGGAAGAAATTGTGGCTCTGTAAATAGTTCGACGATTCCGTGCACCCCCAGGCAACGGAATACACCATCGTACTATTTACAAAAACGACAGAAACAACACGATTTGTATTGCTGTAGCGCTTGTCCTTTGGCAAAATGGCGGACGCTTGTCACATATGACGTCACGAGCGGAAAGGTCACGTGAGTTCCAACGGAATATGCATAATGGCCGAAGCTCAGATAACAGAAACTGTTTTCGCGATAAAAACATAATTGCTGTAATATTGCTGTAAGCGGCATAAAAGCCCTACTCATTCGCCCAAGCTCTGAATATATTGTATCATTTGTGTTTCTATTCCGAATAGTTGTCATATTATTGACGCGGCTTTAAACAACATATACTCTCTCACTATATATCAACCTTTGAGATGTCTTCTTTCAGCCAACAAGTCAATCTTTGCAGGATTTATCGCCAAGTTAAGAATTTGGTGCCAGACGTTTTCTGTGTTCTGTGTCGTGTCATCGGTTGATGTACATTGGATATTTGATAAGTGAGAGATGAGATGACGTACAATAGTGTGATTACAAGCACAAAGGAGGGAGCATGGAAGCCAGATGGACAAAGATGCTCCCTCCTTTGTGCTTGTAATCACAACTATTGTACGTCATCTCATCAATTGTATAAACTCAACTCTAATCACAATCAATCGCTCTGTACATCAACCTCCTCTGCTGTAATCACTTATCAAATATCCAATGTACATCAACCTTGTTAATTGTATATACTCACTATACAGCTATGTATATATTCTCCTTGCTTCAGTTGTTGTATCACTTGCTTGATAACGGTGTTAGTACCTACACCGAAACGTCGCACTCATTGCAATAAAGAAGTTGACTATCCATACAAATCAGTTTTTCTTCATCTTCACAACTTCTAAAATGTCTCTCAAAGAAATTCTATAACACCGTTATCAAGCAAGTGCTGGAATATTGCTGAGCATTAAACAACAAATCAACAAACCAATGTTAAGGTTCTGGACATTTCATTAGGAAACATGAAATATTTCGGCAGTTTATCTTTTCATGGATGGTCGTGAAAGAATGGTAAAATCCAAAAATATGGCAATCACAGCGGGAATGTTATGTTTTTAATCGTTTTGTGCAACAAAATAAAATATCCGTAGATATAATATCGTATTCAGGCGGCCACCCTGCTTAAACGTCAATTTGACAAATTATCATACATACTAGTAATTATCACATCATTGAAATAAATAAATTATGATAATGAAATGTCTCGTCTGCATCCAAAGTACACTGTCGTCAGACTCACCATTGTTCTCGGTGCCCTTGGTTTGGTACCTCCTGATCTTTTGACGCAGATCAGGAGAGTGCCAGTGTTCTCCACCGGGAGTACAGCCCTTCTGACACTCTGGGTAATGCAGAACGCTGCAGTGTTGGGGAGTCTACATATTCTCCGGAAAGTTCTTGGTGGGTTCGACCAGGCAGCGCTTATTAGGAGAAGTCCCTGAGCTGATGTTGAGCCTTACCAGCCTGACTGTGCCAGGGTCGGCCCAAACCTCTCTGCTGCATTTTTTTATCTTAATTTGTAAATTTATGAATATGTTTCAATATATGATTATTGTGTTTGTGTCCAGGTGTGTTGACGGGAACAGTGGACCATGAGACACCTTTAGCTATGGCGTACAACCTCATAGCTGCCGCAGTCACTAGAGGGACGTTTGATGTACCAGTGGCGCTACCATCTGTTGGCATCGTGAGTACACGTGTACTTAAGCTCATTCGAAATGTTCAGTCGTGTCACCTGATTATCTGGTCCATCGACCACTTGTTTGCAGGGCGCCGTTTTCGTAGCAACTTATTCCGCGTCAAACACTTCTTGCGATCAGTCAAGCAGGATATGCTTAAACGTTTGGAGAACATCACTAATTTTCAGAAATTCACTCATCCGTGGAGGTCCTGGTTAGAATTGGTCTTCAGAAACCCATGTTTGTCGTCAGAGACCACTAACGGGACCGGGTGATCAGAATCTCTGACTTAATTGATGCATGTCATCGTATCACAATTATCACAACATCGATGTTCATGATGTCAATCACTGGATTGTCTGGTCCAGACTCAAATATTTACAGACCGCCGTCACATAGCTGGAATATTGTCGAGTGCGGCGTAAAACTAAACTGATTCACTCACTCCATACAATGGCCTCAAACCATGGGCTTGCTTGTCCTTATGATTGTTTTAATACTTACTTTAAAGTCTCCTCCCTATTTATGTTCCTTGAAGGGAGTACCGAGTTCTGTCTTCAAACTTTCAGAAAGAGACGTTTACGGCCACAAGCATACGAATGCTGAGTTACAGTGCAACGACACCGGGTGAGAATTCTTTGTATTATACAACATACACTTGTCAATAAGGAGCTTCAGGATTTCACTTTTGTACTGAATCATAAAATTATCATCATCATTATGTTATTGACTGAGTTTGGTTTCACGCCGCTTTTAGCAATATTCCAGCAACATCACGGCGGGGGGACACCACAAATGGACTTGACACATTGCACCCATGTGGGATTCGAACCTGGGTCTTCGGCGTGACGAGCCAACGCTTTAACCACTAGGCTACCCCACCGCCCCTCAAACATTAGAACAATATAGATTAACAGATACAAATAACCAGGAGGATTATACACTATACAGTTAATGATCATGGCAGCCTCCTTTGGGAAACTCTTCTTTGGAAATACGGAGTGAAACTATACAATATTCATCATGGAAAACAGAAAGAGAGAAACACCAGAGAAGGACTTGCTATCAGAAATAGAATCTGTTCAAGAAAAAATGGACGAGACTGCAGACATCTCTGGAAACATGACAAGAGATCAATTAATTGAAGAAGAGGTGAGAATGTTCTATAATAGACTTTATCAACAGCAGGACTTTTCAGATGTTGACTTAAACCAAGTTTTTCAAGATGTCACTGTACCAACCTTAAATGATGACACAGCATCATTATTAGAAAGTCAAATCTCTACGTCAAAATTGCTAGAAGCCCTAAAAAGAACAGAAAATGAGAAAAGCCCTGGGCCTGATGGTTTTATTTCTGAATTTTACAATTTTTCTGGAAGGATCTCAACAAATATCTTTAAAATGATATTAATTATTATTTTGACACAGGTGAATTATCTACATGTATTACTGAAAAACAAGGACTTATAATTTGTATCCCTAAGGAAATAGACCTAAACAATTTATGAAAAATTGGAGACCAATCTCACTCCTTAATGTTTTCAATAAGTTAGCTTCAGCTGTTATTGCTCAAAGAATAAAATATGTCTTGCCACATTTGATCAATGAAGGATTCATGACAGGCCGTTTTATTGGCGAAGCCACCCAGCTTATCTATGACATCATGCATTACACTGAAAACTATCAGATTCCAGGCTTGCTTCTTCAAGTAGATTTTGAAAAAGCCTTTGATACAGTTGATTGGAAATATATTGATAAAGTATTTTCAATTTTGGCCCAGAAATAAAATGGATAAATGTACTCTACAAAGATTTAAAATCGTGTATCCCTGTGAATGGATTTGATACTCCTTTCTTTCCAATATCACGTGGCAGTCGTCAAGGCGACCCATTATCACCATACATTTTTTTTACTGTGTGTAGAAATCCTTGCCATTATGCTGAGAAATAACAAAAATATTTAGGGTGTAAAAATTGGACATATTGAATATATTCTCTCACAATTTGCTGATGACAGTACTATTATTCTCGATGGAACTGAGAAATCTTTATATACAACAATTTATTAACTAACTTTCTTCGCTAGGTTTTCAGGACTTAAATTGAACATTGAAAAAAGTAAAATTATATGGATTGGATCTAAAATGAGATCAAAACATAAACTATGTAACAAATGGAATCTTGAATGGGTAAAGAGCTTTAATTTGCTTGGAATAGACTTGGATGTAGACGTGGATGTAATGGTAGAAAATAAATTATAATGATAAACTACAAAACATGTTAAATTTAATGAAAATCTGGTCATTCCGGACATTAACTCCATTGGGAAGCAATACAATGCTGAAATCACTTGTCTTGCCTAAATTGTACCATCTCTTCTCAATGTTACCTAATCCAACTCAGAATATTGGAACTGTTTTCAATTTATTTGGGTTGGAAAGACTGACAAAATAAAGAGAGAGAAAATGCACTGTACACACAAAGATGGAGGAATTAAAGTACCACATATCTTTAAAACAAGTCACAAAAACTGTCTTGGATAAAAATAATCTTGACAAAAGACTCAAACCTCCAAAATCTTTTTTTCGTAAATCTACCTCCGTTACCAGGAAGTTTCTTTGAAATTGGCCCAAGTCAAATATGCCGACAACATGAATAATCCTTTTTGAAGCGATGTACTTATGGCTTGGGCAGATTACATTGAAACCTTATGGGAACTATCACCATGTGTAGGGAAATTTCTGACATTTCCTTGTGGTTCAACAACAAACTTATTATTGGTAATGAAACTCTTTTTTACTCAGATTGGTACAAGAAAGGAGTAAGGTCGGTTAAAGATCCACTGGACAATGATGGAAAATATTTAGATTTTAATGAATGTGTAGCTAAATTTCATGGCAATGCCAATTTCTTATCTTATCAACGTCTGATCAGTAGTGTAAAACAGCTACAAAAATTAATAATCTTGTTACCCTTAACTCAGACCACTTATCATTAGAATTGCCTATAGTTCCTTACTATATTCATTAACTGTTAGATTCTGATAAGGTTAGGAGGTTGTTTTGTATCACTTTTCTTCCGTCAATATTCAAGAAATCAGCCTCAAATTTAAAATGAGAAACCATACTTGAATCTAACATTGATGAATCAGATTGGAGAACTGATAATATATGCCATTTAGATGTACAGAGAGTACGGAATTAAGATGGTTCCAAATGAAAATTATTAACAATATTTTAGGCACAAATTATTATTTGCATAAAATATAAGTCAGTGACTCATCACTGTGTAGCTATTGTAATACTTCTAATGAAACTATTTTCCACCTTTTGGGGGATTGTAATTTGATAAGTAGACTTTGGAAGAAAATTGAAGAGTGGCTCATGTCTGATGCTGGAATAAGGATTAAACTTACTCCACAAATCCAAGTATTTGGATTAAAGGAAATTCGAAATGATCCTTTGAATATAATTTTGCTTCTAATTAAACAGACAATTTTTCACAACCGAAAGTATGGAATAATACCAGATCAAAAGAATATTTTTAGAGTCTGCTGCAAATACTATTATGTCTCAAGATGTATAGCTCTTACAACCTGTTCATGTGATAGATTTACAAAATTTTGGTCATCGCTACATACTTTATTTGCCTAATAATGTACTACCTGCTTTGGATAAAGTCCACATTTAACATTGAACATAAGCAAAGACTGTAGACCAATATACATGTATGTCTATAGCTGTATAGACTCAGATATTAGCATCTTTACATAAATACATATTCTCTTGAAGGTGTTAAGAACATGCAATTGTTATTCTAACTTGTTGATTACATCATGTGACATATGACCTGTACTTTGAGAAAAATTTACAAATAAGAATAAAAATGTTATTGATAGTATGTGAAGTATATCTCATTCTGGGGTGTTCTGATTATGTTATTGATAACATACAGGTGTACATATCTCATTCTGTAGTACTTCAGTGACCCATGTTTGTCGTAGGAGGCGACGAACGGGATCGGGGTGGTCAGGCTCGCTGACTTGGTTGACACATGTCATCGTATCCCAATTGCTTATCTCGATGTTCATGCTGTTGATCACTGGATTGTCTGGTCCAGACTCAATTATTTACAGACCGTCGCCATTTAGCTGGAATATTGCTTAGCGCGGCGTAAAACTAAACTCACTCACTCACTCATTCTGTAGTATTCCAGTTATGTTATTGATAGTTTGCAAAGATATCTCATTCTGTTGTATTCTAATTATGTTATTGATAGTATGTAAAGTTCATCTCATTGTTCTGAATTACTCTTTTGTTTTTCATTGTGTAACATGATGTTATTGAAGATGTGTCAAGTGAATGATTGTGAGTTATCAATATTATGTTATTAATGGCGTGGTAAGCGCGAATCATTGTGAAATTTCAACAATATGTTATTGATGGAGTCCCAAATGTATCAGTATATACTACTCGAACTTTGCTAAGGATCACACAAATTCACAACTTTACTTAAACGTGGATTTATAATTTGAAATTGTATCCATTTCAAACTTTATAAATAATAATATGGTAACCCCCTCTTTATGCAAACAACCACTTTAATCTAACATTATGCACTTGATACATGAGTAACCATAAAAATGGTTTTCATGGCACCAAAGAAACATTTTGCACATAATTGACAAATAAACAACACATGTCAATAGCAGGTATGGGATCCACAAGATGCAATGACATACTAAAACCTAGGATCCATGCTTACAATAAGCCTAGGTGTTTAATCCAAATTTGACCCAACATAATAGTTTTCTGTTGAATCCATGATTTGATCCTTAGCAAGGTATGAATAGTATATCATACACATATCACGCTGTTAGGATACCGAGTCAGGCGTGTATCGTTGTGCAGTATCACCATTATATTATCGATAGTACTATTAATATATATCTGGGCGGTGAGGTAGCCTAGTGGTTAAAGCGTCCGCTCGTCACTCCGAAGACCCGGGCTCGATTCCTCACATGGGCGCAATGTGTGAAGCCCATTTCTGGTGTCCTCCGCCCTGATATTGCAGGTATATTGTTAAAAGCTGTGTAAAACTAAACATACTCTTAATATGAATCAGTTGAAGAAGGTGGGTATTGAAGGGTAGTAATTATGTTCTTGAAGAAGGTGGGTATTGAAGGGTAGTAATTATGTTCTTGAAGAAGGTGGGTATTGAAGGGCAGTAATTATATTCTTGAAGAAGGTGGGTATTGAAGGGTAGTAGTAATTAATTTCTCCCATGAAGAAGGTGGGTATTGAAGGGTAGTAATTATATTCTTGAAGAAGGTGGGTATTGAAGGGTAGTAATTATCTTCTTGAAGAAGGTGGGTATTGAAGGGTAGTAATTATCTTCTTGAAGAAGGTGGGTATTGAAGGGTAGTACTTATCTCCTTGAAGAAGGTGGGTATTGAAGAGTAGTAATTATCTTCTTGAAGAAGGTGGGTATTGAAGGGTAGTACTTATCTCCTTGAAGAAGGTGGGTATTAAAGGGTAGTACTTATCTCCTTGAAGAAGGTGGGTATTGAAGGGTATTAATTATGTTCTTGAAGAAGGTGGGTATTGAAGGGTAGTAATTAATTTCTTGAAGAAGGTGGGTATTGAAGGGTAGTAATTATGTTCTTGAAGAAGGTGGGTATTGAAGTGTAGTAATTATCTTCTTGAAGAAGGTGGGTATTGAAGTGTAGTAATTATCTTCTTGAAGAAGGTGGGTATTGAAGGGTAGTACTTATCTCCTTGAAGAAGGTGGGTATTGAAGGGTAGTACTTATCTTCTTGAAGAAGGTGGGTATTGAAGGTTAGTAATTATCTTCTTGAAGAAGGTGGGTATTGAAGGGTAGTAATTATCTTCTTGAAGAAGGTGGGTATTGAAGGGTAGTAATTATCTCCTTACAGCTGGGTGGTCATTGCAGCGGGGAACTGATTCTCTTGAGATATGAAATCCTATACGAATCCATTGTGTTGAACGTTCATGTTCAGACATATCTTCACTCAGTTGCATACTCTGGAAGGCTAAAGCCTTGTTACACATAAGACAACAGGACTAAAATGGATTTGCTACTATGTGTGTTATTGGCTTGTGACATTACATTGCCACAAATGATGATGGACTGTTGCCAACAGTGAGCATTGAAAACGTCTTATGTATTGTCACTCTGAACTCTCACATTGAGCCATCCTTCTGGTGTTCTGGGGCGGTCTGGTAGCCTAGTGGTGAAGCGTTCCCTCATCACGCCGAAGACCCGGGTTCGATTCCCCACATACGATGTACAATTCCCCTGTACAATGTGTGAAGCTCATTTCTGGTGTCCCATGCCGTGATATTCCTGGAATATTGCTAAAAGCTACATAAAACCACACTCACTCAGTTCTGGTGTTGTAGGAGCGACGCAAAACCCAAATCCTGGCCAGCCGACATCAAATCCTGGACAACAGACGCCCAAGCCAAATCCTGGACAACAGACGCCCAAGCCAAACCCTGGACAACAGACGCCCAAACCAAATCCTGGGCAACAGACGTCCAAGCCAATTCCTGGACAACAGACTCCAAGACCAGGAACAGGTAAACATAGCATTTGCCGGTTCAGGATGGTATGTAATTATCCTTACACATCATATATGCATGTTCCATACAATTAATTATGTTGGTCCTTAAGTAATATATGTAGAGTTTAAAGATGACTATTGGAAGAAGGCACGACATAACATCCTCTTCATCAAAGTCGACTCGCCACCAACCCAAGCGCCTCCAAAACTTCTTTAATCGTATTATATCGTCAGATAACCAGTGTGTCGAAATATTTAGGGTGGCGACAATTTTTCCAGATAGTCTTTTGGAAATTTGCTCTTTATTGACGCACTATTCCAGCTGTCAAAAATAATGTAAATTCTAGCCAAGTAAGTCGACATAATCAGTGTCTCAAGATAGCCCATAAGCCGAGAAAATGTGTCCAACAAAGTGGAGACAACAAATAAAACAATAATCAGAGGAAGTGAGTGGCTTGGCCTCCACTGTTCCCGCGTTCATCAGAACATCCAGGTAGTGTATGCCGTATGTCAGAATGTCCAGTGTCAGTCGAGATGTTGTGTTTGTAACTAGCTGCTGTGTCTCTTTATCTTAAAAAACCCCAGGAAACAACCCGACGAAGGCACCAGTCAATTGTGGCGACGTCGGAACCCCACAGAAGTCGTCGAGCAGCGGAGGTAAAACGCCTACAACAACGACATCCAGTATTTGTGAAAGTTTTATAAAATGTAAAATGCTTGAAAGAAATAGCTTACCGGCTTGTTTTATCTACTTTGGATCACAAGTTATATTTCATAAGATCACATCACATGACGCATCAATGGATCATATGGTAGCATATTGTGTCACATGACACATCAGATAGGATCGGATCACAAATGACATATCACACAGGATCACATCACACGCGATGACGTCACACAGATCACATCACAATTGAATTTCACACAGGATCACACATGACAGATCGCAAAGGATCATATCATTACATATGATCGCAGCATTCATCCTTACATCTTGTCATCTTGTCCTCGATACCATGATCCGATACCCGTGCTTCAAACATCCACGCCCATCCACATGACTATATGACACAGGTCTACATCACACAGGATCACATGACATAGGATCACATCACAGACTATGACACCACGCCCATCCACATGATACAGGTCTACATCACACAGACAGAATCACATGATATAGGATCACATCACACACAGGGCCACATGAATCACACAGAACCACAAATACTCTTAAGAAATGTAGGAGCACTTCATTTTAATTCAATCAATGTTGATATGACAATAATGAATGTTTTGAGAGTGCATCACCATTTGCACTTCCTTATGACCATAGTTGTTTGTACATTAATCGTTTTTGAAAGATGGTGTATGACGTGAAATTGGTACGATTTTCGATTTGTAACACACACAAAAAACCGGCTAGAAACAAACACTTACAACTATGTGATGCAAGATTATTGTCAAAATTACAGTCATTTATTGAAAACCGTCAAAATCAGAAATGACACCCCATGCACGTGTATGGGGCAACTGCTTTGCGCACGTGCATCCAGTGCGTTGTGTTTAGGGGTGGTGATAAAGAGAAATGGTGGTGCGTTCATAAGATGTCTGTCTTTTAAAAAGTTTGTTAACGCTTATACTTCCTATCCAAATTGAAAGTTCAGGTTCTCCTACTTTTTTAAAGGGTATACAAGAAAGGGTATGGATTCTGGCCTATGGTACATTTCTTTTCCAATCATCGTTTGACGTCTTCTTTCATCCAGGGACAATCGCAGGCGTCGCTTTAGCCATGTTGGCAGTTGGTGTCATCATTGGTGTCGCAGTGATGATGTTTGTCCAGCGACGACAGAAGAAAGCGGAAAACTATCAAGTTGCTTTCGTCAACAAAAACTTCGAGAACTGAAAGTCTTGGAGAAAGTCTAATGCGGACATTTGCTGCTGCGTTCCTAGTTCAATGTCTATATCCAAACGAATCTAAACATTGACATTGAAATGTGAGTTCTTCATTGTGTTTTGATCAATTATGTGTACGAGCTCGTACTTGTATTTATGTTTCGTGTAACAATTAGCAAGTATTATGTGTACAAATTACTAAGTTTTTGAAAAACTCAGATAAGACAGAGAAAAATTAACTGTGACAGTTGTTGAATGTACTAGCGACGGATTTCGAGGGTCGGTTACGGGTAAGCGAGTTATTTTGTTCAACAACGAATTTGTAACATGGGCCTGCCACTCAAGTACCAGGTCGCGTGACAGGTGTGACCCGTGTGATTTTAAAATGGGCCTTCTCATTCCACATAGCATTCCATTTCCTTTTGGTGTCTAGAAACCAGATGATTTTCGTCAACTAGTAACCCCATTTTCAATTCATTTAACAAGTGACATTTGTTCAACTTCATGAATGCCAACGTATGGTGACGTCAAGGAACTCATTGAGAAGTGACTTTTATAAGTTTCTTTTCGTAGTGGTGTCGAAGAAGGAAGGGCTGAGGGGGAGAGGGGGGATATGAGGTGCAGGGTTGGGATGGAGGGAGGTAACTCTGATTATGAATCAATTCGTGGCGGGGGGACTTAATACTCACCAGTACATATATCATGGTTTGACCTGACAAATTATGAAATATTTGCTTCATATCTTTCGAAATAACATATTCTATACACACATACATATACATAGACATGTACGAATTATTTGTTCAATAAAACATAATATTCTATAACTGTTACATTAGTTAGCTATTTCGCAGGAAGAGTATCGCATCTAACACATGTGTACATTGGATTTGTTTATTCTGAAATCTCACAGTGACTGAGACGTGAAACTGCTTTAGAACTGAACTTCAGTTTTAAAATTTGTGAGCGACATTCCTTGTTTTGGAGGTGGACATTATGTTAATCGATCTAAAATTTCACTCCCCAAAATGATGTTAAAACCGGCAGAAGAATCCTTAATCTTTCTATTTTAACAGGATGTTGAGTTGTGGATTCCACCCGCGCCTTTGCAACCTTTGACAGATCCAACAGTGATCGATCTACGGATGCTTCGTGCAACGGGAGCAACTTCAGACGAGGTTATAAACCTCAGTTCTAATTTTATTTTGGTGTGTGTGTGTGTGTGTGTGTGTGTGTGTGTTGGCGTGTGTGTGAGTCAGACCTTGACTCTCCGCTATTAACCCATCTGCGAATATTCAAAGAATAAAATGTTTGACGTACTTCGAACATACCAGTCACAATAAAGACGCACATGCGCACACGCACATGGACGCGTGTACGCGCGCACACATCATAGTAAATCAACAGCATACAACAAAACACCAAGAAACTAACGCATACACACGTAAACATACATAATGACACGCTAGCACTCACGATTACTTCCTTCACATACTGAATGTGTTTAAGGGCATCTCCGCAGCTTGTGACCACGGGATCCTATTCAAGCACACCGTGAAGATCCGGGTTAGAATTGGTCTTCAGTAACCCATGCTTGTCGTAAGAGGCGACTAACGGGATCGGGTGGTCAAGCTCGCTGATAAGGTTGACACGTCATCGTATCCCAGTTAAGTAGATCAATGCTCAGGCTGTTGATCACTGGATTGTCTGGTCAAGACTCATTATTTACAGACCGCCGCCATATCACTTGAATATTGCTGAGCGCGGCGTAAAACTAAACTCACTCACTCTCATCTAAAGCAACAGATCCTTCCAATGCTTATCATCCCCTTGCTACGCATAAACTCTTCTTCTCAGAATAATTTACTCAAAGCCATAAGGAAAATCCATGTCCGGAGCCGCAAAATACCAATCATATTTTAGATCCGTGTTTAAGGGGTGTGAGAGTGGAGAACATAGTATCATCCCCATTATTTGCAAGTGCGGCGGTAGATAAGGTTTCGATTCATCAGAAGCGCTCTTAAAATCGCCAGCATCAACATATGACACCATCTCCAAGATGTTCCAGTCGGGGCATACATTGTGTTCCCATTCCACATTGCCCATGTTGGTTGGATCAGCCTTCAGATAACCAGCGTCTGGTTTTCATAACGTGGTTGATTTCCAGCCAGCATACCAGCCACTGGTTTGTCAGGGTCTGATTCATATATTTGTTGAGTGAGTGAGTGAGTGAGTATGGTTTTACGCCGCTTTTAGCAATATTCCAGCAATACTGCCGCGGGGACAACAGAAATGGGTTTCACACATTGTACCCATGTGGGGAATCGAACCCGGCTCTTCGGCGTGACAAGCGAACGCTTTAACCACTAGGCTACCCCACCGCCCCTCATATATTTGGATATAGTGTTGAGATGGCGTGACGAGGGGTTCATCGTCGTGTTCGTGATTACTGCTCTTATACAGCAGTTTAACATGGACATCTCACCCAGACAGGTCATTGTCCACTCTTCGTATCAACCCCTTAATATCGAGCTCCAGGCAGGGTAACATGAAGAAACATTTTGCCTCTTTCTTGGCATTAGGTGGCTCAATGATCGGTCCACCTACCTATCGCTCTCTCGGAGAGACACTGTCTGAGATAAAAGTGATAATTCATAATAATAATTAGCAGATCATTTCTAAGTAACGGCAAGGGTGAGGTTATTGGGAGTTTCCCTTGGGCGCACCAGAATCCTAGAATTGCGGTTCTGAAAATCTGTTTCGGCATGCTATGGATCCAACACCATACCCATGTGAGTTCCACTAAAATGGTAAACGTCCAACACCTGTATCACTTCTAATTTTCCACCCGGGGCGGTAGGGTAGCCTAGTGGTTAAAGAGTTCGCTCGTCACGCCAAAAACCAGGTTTCGATTCCCCACATGGGTACAATATGTGAAACCCATTTCTGGTGTCCCCCGCGGTGATGTTGTTGGAATATTGCTAAAAGCGGCGTAAAACCAAACTCTTCTATTTTCCACCCGGGGCGGTAGGGTAGCCTTGTGGTTAAAGCGTTGGTTCGTCACGCCGAAGACCCGGGTTCGAATCCCCACATGGGTACAATGTGTGAATACAGGGGAAATTGTGTTCAGAGACGGAGCTGAACGATAATCACACACTCACTTAATTCTCAAGATGTCAATCCAAGTGCTTTATGTGCCTGAACAGATCTTGGCGTTTGAACTCACGCACTCACGCACACACACTGAACAAATAATTCTTAAAAACCAATTTTTCCACAAAAAGGAAATTTTATTAAAATACTGAGTAAAGTCAATGCATGAGAGAGATAAAATATAATATCACCCAGTGTATGCTGCTGGGGTGAAGAGATCAGGGAAACATACTGCTCTATTTCGGGACCCGTGAAGATCAGGGTTAGAATTGATCTTCAGTAACCCATGTTTGTCGTAAGAGGCGTATATTTCAATATTTGTTGATCTTCAGTGACCCATGTTTGTCGTAAGAGGCGTTTATTTCAATATTTGGCGTATATTTCAACATGTTTTATCCTTTTTTCTTTTCAAAAGTGACAAAACAATAAAGTAAATGTCCCTAAGCTTAGGAGTACGCTCAGTAATAAATATCTTGAAGTTCCAAGTCTAATATACGTGTATCTATGCAGACTGGTATATGGTTCAAGAATTCCACCTGTTCAAGAATTGGAAGCCTGACCATATTTAGTGGTGTACGGGATGGTAAAAAGAGTTAGTTGTAGGAGGTTGGACGTGGTTGGAGTGATTGCACCTTCATCAGTTTACGCTTTTCCCTCAGTGAATTGGTAACTTCTACCGTACCCTGATGCATAAACCTTCAACCAATTCAACTCACATATTTACCATAATTTACCACAATTTGCAATGAAACTGTGGCCACAATCTATTCACCAGAATCACAATGAAGCGTGTGAAGCATATTATATATATGCATCTGACGTCGGTTTGGCCACATTTAAGCTCAAAGCATCCCGTGCATCCAAGTTCGATGGCAATATATACTCATGCCAATAATGGTTGTCGCCCCTTCCTCCCAAACCCCCACACCTCATACCCCCACCCCACACTCCCTCTCAATGAAAAAATTGAAGGGGTGACAACCATTATTGGCATGAATATACATTAAACGATGCCGGTTCTATGTAAGGAGCTGCAATTGCCCAAAATATATCCAATGCGGTAGTGTATAGTGTTCCAATTGCACATTAAATAAATTGAAATTTATCTAAATATCATGACCAATGAATTCAAATTTGGAACGATACATAATAGTTATCAAATGTAACTATTCATATATAGAAATAATATAAAATCATAAACGCAAACCCGCCTGACAGTATTTCCATAAGCATTAGTTTTTCGTAAAGGAAGTACATGATTTAATACTGAGAAAAGAATTATCATAAAATTAAACTGAAATGAATATAATATATGAATAAAACCAATAAAATGACCGGAAGTGATGTGGAAGACAACATTCCAAAAACTTAAAATATCTTGCTGATGAAGATAAAACAATCAACCGTCAACAGTAGGTTTTCCACGCACATCGGAAGAATCCATTTCCACAGGACAGGGGACTAGGGTGGAGTTCAAGATCTGTGGTGTATTCATCAACCCGCTGTGCCCACTGGTGGACTAGGCAAACCTTCCAATCCTGTTATTGCTATTGAGTGCTGTCACGCGGGTCCAATAGTCTTGAAACATTTCGAAATCCGTGGGTCTAACAGTCTTTAGATATTTGCAGTCTTTGGACATTTGCATACTGGCTTCAGTTTGTTGCACATACGTGAGTCCAGTTGTCTTCAGACATTTGAAGATTGCAATCGTCTTCAGATAATTGTTTTGTTTTGAAGTGAGAAAAACACAACATGGACGGTGAATGATTACTCCACAAATGGGGGTATGACTGATCTTGCAAACACTACAGAGTAGCGTCCCATAGTCGTGCCAAGATCCGCAGTCACTAGTTGGAATCAAATGGTACATGGATTGAGAACATATCACGTGACCCCTGTCATTTTTCGTGAAACGTCCACCGTACAAACTCAATTGTGAGCAATCTTTCAGAAATACCATGATATGCGTGAGATCGGCTAGCACCACAAACAAAACCACAAATAAAAGGTCAGAAACAAAACTGTCGCTAATCCCACTCAGCAAACTTTCATCATAAAAATTTCATGGCAAGAAGTCCTCTGCTTTCCTGACATCGACTTGTAATGGCAATACTGGTTTCTATGTGTGAGGAAAATCCGATAACCGAGATCATATAGATCCCGGAATATTTCCAGTGCCGTTATGTACTTGTCTGGAGGAGCGTCTGTATGTTGCAGTGAAATATGCACCTCAAATACAAACTGTGTCACGTTGTGTAACGCGTTGTTTCTCATCATTTCCGGGATCACCTTCCACTCCATATCTTCAATATCAATTTTCAAAATATCAATTGTAGTCTGAAAGATGAAAAGAAAAAGGATTAATGATGTATCGTTTTGGTAAAGTTTAAAGATATTTTGGTACCGGAGTTAAGGGGGTCTCTCGTCACGACGAAATGGGTGAATTTGGGTTTAAACGGTATTCGAGTTACGTCATGTTCAGCTTAATTTGGGAGGAAATCCTAAAGTGATGCTGGTCTCACCACGTTGGTGAAACACAGGATATTGCAAAGATATGGTGCTAACAAAAACGTCATTTTCTGATTGGCTGAGCGCTCTTCTATATTTTTCAATGGACCCCGCTTACAAGCGAGTAACATTTTCTATGTACCCCGCTGGGAATGCCGAACTCATTTGGTACTTCGTAGTAGTAATTCTTTATCTCGAATAACATTGAATCAGGTATGGTGTACGGAAATTACCGATGTTTCGCGAATGCAAATCGATGAAAGGGAGATAACTCTAAATTTGTTTTTCTTGTCGTCCTGTCCTCTATACTATGATCCGATACCCGTGCTTCAAACAGTTCAAAATTACCATTGAGGTGTTTGGTAAGATAAATACGTTGTTCACTGGTCCCTCGTGGTCCATGGGTTGATGTACCCTCGATGTTCCTTCATGTCCCAAACATAAACAAACATCGAGGGTACATCAGCTCATGTCCGCCTCGAGACCACTGAACAACTTATAATACAAAATTTGGGCGGGCCGGGATTCGAACTCAAGCTAATAGGTCCCTAGCCCCACGAGACGCAAGTCTGTCATAGCGAACGTGTGGGATATATCATTTCCGACAAAGGTACGTGAGCTAAGATACATGGCGTTCACTGACATGTCAGTGAACGCTATGTATCTTAGCTAAGGTACGTGATGTCCGTCTTCGTCATGTTGGAGAACATTGCAAAACGCGATGGAAAAACCTGTCCCTATTTCCGTCGCTCACTCACTACCGTTACTTACCCCCACCCGCTACCGTGCCACGCACCCGTGAGAATCTGAGTTGAGACTAATTAACTTCTGTTTGCGCCTAACGGGATCGGTTGTCATGGTTACTGAATTCTTTACTGCATGTTGTCACATCCCAATTGCGATGACCGACTCAGGTATTCAGTAACCGGGTCCATATTTGAAATTGATTATTTACAGACAACCAGCTAGAATAATGGTATGAGACGCTATAAAAAAAATAAATAAAAAAAACCCCGGTAAAACAAGGATCATAAGACAGATACCTGCGTGTGGCGAAGAGACTCGCGTATACAGTTGAGGGTTTTCATCGGCCATTTTCTCTCTGATCTGCCGTTGTAGTCCGAAATTCCCAAAGAATGAAACATTATGCCTTTGCTGCGCTGATGGTCGTCTTTACCCATACTGAGAATAAAATTTCGTATTTGAATAATAACCTTAGCTGCGGACAAATCCGAAATCATGTCCTTGATGTTTCACGTCGTGTAGTGTGGAATCTGTTTTACTGAAAATTCTAACTATGAATCCGACTTACCAGAGTAAAGTCAAGCTGGGAGAGAGAGAGAGAGAGAGAGAGAGAGAGAGAGAGAGAGAGAGAGAGAGAGAGAGAGAGAGAGAGAGAGAGAGAGAGAGAGAGAGAGAGAGAGAGAGAGAGAGAGAGAGAGAGAGAGAGAGAGAGAGAGAGAGAGAGAAATAGAGAGACGAGCGACCGTGAGTAAAAGAAAGAAATGGAGAGAAAGAGGTGACGTTAAACAGTGTACACTAGTACATATGATGAAATATTATCGAAATTATACAGTACCTGCAAATTCTAACGTATGAATTCGACTTAGCTGAGGAGGAGAGAGAGAGAGAGGGGGGGGGGAAGAAAGAATGGGAGAGAGAAAGAGGTGACGTTAAACGTATGAATTCGACTTGGCTGAGAGAGAGAGAGAGAGACTGAGAGAGAGAGAGAGAGAGAGAGAAAGGTCGACTGCAACCTTATTACTCTATGTTGAGGATCCGCAAAATTAGTTGTACACAATTGCTTCCCTAAGCACGCCAGACAGAAACCTATGAGGCGTGTATCCCCGTTCACCCCGATTAATCTTTCATGGTTTGATAGCAAGGCCATGTAGGTCATGTGGAAGCACAATCATTTCTCATCTCAAGTTTCACTGAACCATTCTTTTAATTAACAGAACAGTTACAGAGCTAAAGGTTACTTTATACAAGAGTGTAGCAGGAATGAGTGATGATTTAAACATCAAATGAAAATGGGTTCCTTCATAAATATGCAAACTCGAGTACATCCTTCGTCCTTCATTTTCTGTTTCGTTAGGAAATAAATGCAGCATGGGGTTTTATGAACTGGTATTTCATACGGAAATAAATTATGAGGATTCATGATGTTATGTGACATGTGAACCGACGGTTCGTGAAACACAACAGGAAACCGTAAGACGCATGTTCCCTAAAGGAAAGATACAAATTCAACATTGTCATCTACAGTTCTTACCTCGGATCAAAAGAATGAATTTGACATCCGTATTCCAGTTCCGTCGCGTCGTCGAAACTGAAGTCGTTGTTGATGCTGGAAATATAATATATATATATGCTATTCAAATTGTTTATAGTTTATATATTCGTATTTACCAATGCTAATGCAGAATTTCTTGCAAAGTGTATATACTGTCAGCTGGCGGTGTGCCGACATGATGTGGACGTGATACGCTATATATTCAGATAATATGGGTGTGATATGATATATGTTCCGATATTTAATGATATCACAAACTCTCCTTTTTCGCATGTGAATCACGTCCCCGAATCATTTGTCAGACAATAAAGATAGGATATTATAATGGAGGAACATTCTGCTATTTACAACCAACCAGGAAATGATGGTGAAGCGGCATAATCTGGTTCTTGGACAGTTTATGTTACTATTCACATGTTTGCATCAATATAAGCTGAAGGTCGCGGGTTCGATCCCCGACCGCGTCAACCAAAAAACGTTAAAATATGGTACTTGTTGGTCCCTGCCTGGCGCTCGGCATTAATGGGTACTGGTCGGCTCGGAGTCAGTATAATGTGTCTGAGTGGGGTATTCATGCTTCACTGCGGCATGGTATCTCAGTGGGCTAGCACTATAAAACCAGCTTCAGTCTGGGCTAGTACAAGCAGCCGCACATACACATAAACACGCACGCACGTCGTCATATGAGCGAAATATTCTCAAGCACGACGTTAAACCTAACTTCACTTCACCTCAGCGCAATATAACGTTTAATGTATCGTATGTATTGCGATACAGGGGTTGTAAATCGATGGATTGTATCGTGAACTGCGATCAATTACCACACCACTACTGTGAGCGCATTGGATTTATTCGGGTTTCAGTCTTACGTGGTGCAGCCCCTCATCAACTAATAATACCAGCCCCACGCCACCCGCGTTATGTTAACAGTGTGTGAGTGAGTATGGTGTTTCGCCGCCTTTAGCAATATTCCAGCAATATCACGGCGGGGACACCAGAAATGGGCTTCACACTTGTACCCATGTGGAGAATCGAACCCGGGTCTATGGCTTGACGAGCGGACGCTTTGACCAGTAGGCTACCCCACCGCCCCTTGTATTGTATGATATATATTTTAAGTAGGCTACAATTATATATTGTGGGGGGCAAAGTGGCCATTCCAGGAAACTGTGTATTCGCGACTGGGAGGGGCGACTCTTCACAGTTAATTGTACAGTTTTGTTGTCGCGGGTCGCCTCTGTAAATACCATCAGTGATGTAGTGAGTGTGTATTGTTTTACGCCGCACTCAGCAATATTCCAGTTATATGGCGGCGATCTGTAAATAATCGACTCTGGACCAGACAATCCAGTGATCAACAGCATAAGCATCGATCTACGCAATTGGGATACGATGAGATGTGTCAACCAAGTCAGATAGCTTGACCACCCGATCCCGTTAGTCGCGTTTTACAACAAGCATGGGTTACTGAAGACCAATTCCAACCCGAATCTTCACGGTCTTCAGTGATGTAAAGTACTGACTTAACATACCAGCGTGTGTATTATCCAATAAAATATTTCTGGTTCAAGAACTTTGTTTTCTTGTAATGACTGTGCTACCAGATAACAACATTAAATCGTGTCCTCACCCGAAGGAATAGACCAGACACGGTTTCTTTGGTTTGACGAGGGGGTCGTTACAGATCTCCCAGCCGCCATCTTGCTGAAGCCCCATTCTCTTCATGTCTCCACACGCCACCTGGATGTTTTCCACGTAACTACAAAAAAGACGTAATGACGTTGCTACATCAAGGTCAAGGTCATTTAACACAACGCGTCCCACAACACAACCTGATGCTCTCCATTGTCAAGATCATACGACTTGCACGTTGGTTGTCGTCACAAGCCACTCTCATGTTCTCCGCGTAACTACAAGTTCAAAGTCATATCCAAAGTCTCAATCCTAATATTTCCACCAAAATGATTCAGATCAGAAAGGATAGAGGTCAAGGTCAAGGTTATATCAAGGACGAAACAGTATATATGAGTTTGTATGATCCCACTCGGCATGTTCCTTCCGCATTAAGACAGACAGACAGATTTTATTGACGCAAGCCACATGGGCCTCTGGCCATACATACAATACAATATAGATAATATTTATGTTGGATGGTGAGGATGACATTATTAATAAGTTAAAAGTTGTTTCTTACACGGAATGCTTCATACACATATCTGCCTAGAGAGCGTTGAGTATTAATATTTTCTGATGATAATAACTGTATACATTTATAAACTGAATAATTTTTACAATAATATTTCTTTAAATGAATAGATCTTTTACAATAACATTTCTTTAAATGAATAGACCTTTTACAATAATATTTCTTTAAATGAATAGATCTTTTACAATAACATTTCTTTAAATGAATAGATCTTTTACATGGACACTTGAGTAAAAAGTGAAATTCGTCTTCTATGTCATTAAGATTACAGTTAGTACAAATTTTTTCATCCCGTGGGATTTTATTACTACCATGTCTACCAGTTTCAATTAATAATGTATGAGATGATAATCTTAATTTGTATAATGCAGACCTGTGGTTACAATTTAAAACATTAACTAAATACATTTCAAAGCCAAATTTTACCTTAAATTGTTTGAATAACATATAAGTAGTAGATTTCATCATCTCCTGGCACCAATACGTAATGAATTTATCTTGTAGTCGTTGTTTTAATAAAGACATGAAAACTGGAACATTTACCTCTAAGGGAGACAACCATGCATAATAAAAACCGTTGCTCAGGGATGGACAGGGATGCTGTTCTAGCTCACTCACTCACTCATTCACGCACGCACTCACGCACTCACGCACTCACGCACTCACGCACGCACTCACTCACGCACTCACTCACTCACTCACTCACTCACTCAACGAAGCAATCAATCAACCAAACAGTCAGTTGAGACCCTGACTAATTAGCAGATAAAGCGATCCGCGACAAGTCTCACTCTGTTTTAACGTTTTAACATTTTACCTGTGGTATATTTCAGTCAATTGACCAGGTTCAAGTGTTCGTATCTCAGATCGTGTAGGGGGCACATGACCTCTGCGACACTCTGCCACAGGGATGATTGGTGTATCTGTGTAAGCATTATCCTGGAACAATAATCAATGAGTATTAGATCCTAATTCTTAACTAAATCATAACGCATTGAACTTGATCCCTTAAGATCAGAGATTTCCTCGGAAATGAGTGATTGAGTTTAGTATTACGACGTTTTTTATCAATATTCCAGCAATATCACAAGGGACATAAAAATAGGGCTTCATACATTGTACCCATGTGGGGAATCGAACCCGAGTCTTCGGCGTGACGAATGAACGCTTTAACCACTAGGCTACCTCACCGCCCCCAGTCGGAAGAAAAGAAAGGTCCATTTCCTCAGTGATGCATCCTTCATAGTTAAAATAGCACCATTTACAAAGCAGTAGGATAAAATAATTATTGTTTTCCACGAAGACATTAGAATTTAAACAATATTGGTTTATTATTACGTAAGACTGACTGACTGAGTTTGGTTTTGCGCCGCTTTTAGCAATATTCCAGCAACATCACGGCGGGAGACACCAGAAACGGGCTTCACACAATGTACCCATGTGGGGATTCGAACCCGGGCCTTCGGAGTGACGAGCCAACGCTTTAACCACTAGGCTACCCCACCGCCCCTATTACGTAAGAAGTATTAAACAGTGTTCTTAAAAGTAGCTGTCGATGCTCATGATACCTGTCTCTATTATGTCAAGGCCGCTGTCTTGTAGCTGTAATATGGCTTCATAACAAACAAGCATACAAACTAATGCTCTATCTTGAACACAGTTTACAACGGCATATACTGAATTCGCTTATTCACGCAATAAGATACACACGTGTATGTTTCTTTCTTTTTTTCTTGTTTAACGCCGCACTCAGCAATATCCCAGCTATATGGCGGCGGTCTGTAAATAATCGAATCTGGACCAGACAATCCGGTGATTGTCATCATGACAAGCTAGTCTACGAGCCTGACCACCAGATCCTGTTAGTTGCCTTTTGTCAAATACTGCTTCGTCATGCAGCATGGGTTGCTGAAGACCAATTTTAACACGAATCGATCTTCATGAGTCAAACTTGTGTAAACTGAAAAGGTAAGATCAACACCCACTGTCAACGAAGCATACCTTTTCATACTTGTGACTTTGACAATTCTCCTCGTAGATGACTGGCACAGGCGAGTTGCGCTGGAACAAGACAGGTCAGCGGTTATCATTTATGAAAACGTTTCATGTATGGAAAACAGCTTTCCCCCCATAAGCTCACGGACACAATATTTATAGAAAACAGCTTTTTCGATATTCTCACGAATACAATAGTTCTAGAAAACACCTTTCCCCATATTCTCACGAACATGATGTTTATGGAAAGGAGCTTTCCCCCAATCGTCACGAACACAATATTTTTGGAAAATAGCTTTCCCCATATCCTCAAGAAATGCAATATTTAAGTAAAACATATTCTCATGAACATGATATTAATGTAAAACAGCTTCTCCTGTATTCTCACGAATATAATATTTATGGAAAACAGCTTTCCACATATTCACATGAACATAATATTTATAATATGTAAAACAGCTTTCTCCATTTTATCATGAACATGATGTTTATGGAAAACAGCTATTCTCAATCGTCACGAACACAATGTTTTTTGGAAAATAGCTTTCCCCATGCATATGCTCACGAATGCAATATTTATGGAAAACAGCTTTCCCATATTCTCACGAATACAATATTTATGTAAAACAGCTTTCCGTATATTCTCATGAACATGATATTAATGTATTCTCACGAATATAATATTTATGGAAAACAGCTATCCTCAATCGCCACGAACACAATATTTTTGGGAAAATAGCTTTCCCCATCACCGGTACTTTTCCACATATTCTCACGAATATTTATGGAAAACAGCCTCCCTATATTCTCAAGAACACAATATGTATGGAAAACGGGTTTCGCCATATTCTCATTAATCCAATCCTAAGAGAAAGCAGCCAACCATATATTGTCCTGAGCACCATCTTTAAATAACCAAGCAAACGACATATTTTTATGACAATTTCAGTGAGTGAGTTTAGTTTTACGCCGCTTTTAGAAATATTCCAGCAATATCACGGCGGGGGACACCAGAAATGGGCTTCACTCACTGTACCCATGTGGTGAATCGAACCCGGGGTCTTCGGCGTGACGAGCGAACGCTTTAACCACTGGGCTGCCGCTCCAACAATTTCAGGGTTGTAATCCCTTGGTATGTTAACCAAACATACCACAAAGCACATGGCACTGGAGCTTACAGCAAGCAGAGGGAAACACCCATAATGTCTGTATATATTTGTTTGTTTGTGTAACGCCGTACGCTATATGGCGGCGGCCAGACAATCCAGTGATCAATAGCATGAGCATCGATGTACGCAAATGGGATACGATGACATGTTTTCATCCAAGTCGACTCTTACGACAAGCATGGGTTGCTGAAGACCAATACTAACCCGAAACTTCACGGTTCAAACAGCAAAGAACAGTAACGTTAAAGGCACAATGTCACACACTTTCGACAATATTATGGCCTATATTATATATATTGGGGCATATGCACTCACTTTAGCTTCCTATTGATGCAATAAAAGACTTATTGTCCCTTACGACTTGCTTGAAATCGATAACTGAAACTTCGAGGCGAACAGTTTTCAAACAGAGGACACTTGTAATATATGGAATGTAAACAATTGCTCCGTACATCAAAACCTGTCGCACGCGGTGTTGTCGGTGTTTGCCGAAATGGTTTCAATCACATGTGTTTGTAGGATATTCGTAAAGAGCCTTTAAAAACTCTATGGGGTTCGCTTGAAATAATGAACAAGAGGGCAGAGTCGATTATGCACGGTGCAATTATTGTAATCCAAATACGTATTTTGTTTTGGAATAAATTATATGGTAGCTTCTCTGAGGGCGGATAGTTAGTATCATTGAGAGAAATGCATTATTGATTATAGAGAAATGTGTTGGGATATAGTGCCTTTAAAAGCATATACAAATATAAACAACAACATTATATGTACAATTACTGCAAATATATAACGTTGAGACCGTAAATAATCACTCCAAACTGTCCGCCTAAACACATTTCATCAGAGATACTGGCAAATTAGTGGTGAAAAATTGTATGAACATGGAAACAGCTGTTAAATCGGAAACAGCTCTATCTATTTCTCGGATGTATTAAAAAAGAATAGTATAAATGATCAATGGCATATATTTAGTATGGGACACGGTCTCTCGAAGTAAATGTGGCGTAAAATAAATCGAAAGCAGTAACTTTCCAGCCCATGTTAACAGATACAGCCACCATAGATGCTATAATAGATGTTTTTGTACACCCAAAAACAGCTTTATTCTTCCTCTAACTGTGTAGACTCTATGTACTAGCAAATACCCTGTGATTTGACAACAACAACCCCCACCCCCAAACCTACCCCAACACCATCCACCCACACATTTCCCAAATACACATGGATCAGTGGATAATTAGTGGATAATGAATAATTGAACGTTTTACGTTGTTGGGGTTCGCATTGCCAGCAGGTCAGGAAAGAGTGCTTCCTGAAATAATCAAAAGGCTAGTCGTCACGTGACCCATGACTGAGCCTCTTACACAAGAAGCCCGATCTCTCAATGGGATGGGAATGTATTTAGGGACTGGTAGTCTGTCGTACAGACCCTGAAGTAAATATATCCAAGAAAGCCCACGCAAGTCTAGAAAATGTGGCAAGTCTAGATTTCCTCAGCTTCAGGTGAATAAAGTCTAAGGGCACCTTTTCATTATATATATTTAATTTTTTTTACTATGAACTTTTTTTCAGTAAATTATGTTCAGAAGGAATTACGTTCATTTCAGTGACTAGTTGTTAGTCTAGGGGACTGGGAACAGGATGTGATAAGGGACTACTATAGCTATATAATATATACAGTGTCCTTGCCCTGTTGTCTGCATTTTCCCATGGTCAATCGTTTGGCGTGGTGTACGTGTAAGATGCCCCCGGCAAATGGTGCTCCTAATCGACAGTTCAATCATGGAGTGATTTTTACTTCGTACGGCTGAATGGTTTCCAGCATTTCAGGAGGTCCAAAATGAGGTTTTTTATCGATTGACCTCACCTTCACGTGCACGTTTTGAGTAGAAGCTGACGGGATAACAGCAACACACACACACACACACACACACACACACACACACACACACACACACACACACACACACACACACACACACACACACACACACACACGTGTGATTTCACTCGGTATGCATGTATTCTACTATCCAACCGCCATGTGCACCTAGTTATCTTTCCAACAACACGCCATCTATCTATAGAAACATGAATGTTACCACAAAAACTTATCAGTCTGATGTTCACGATGTTACTCACCAGAAAAAAGTCTCCAATTTCTGTATGAAATACGATAATTCCAACTAACATGAACGAGCCGATCGCAAATCCAACAACCGAGCGCTTCATTTTGGACAGTGTGCACCGTGAACACAATGCCCTAAATTGATCTGTGTCTCTGTTACTCAACGCTATACGGTCAGCTTGTGTTGCCAAGCCGACCCGGACGTGCATGTCAAACCACACGAGGAGGACAAAGCAAATGAGACTTTTCCCTCCTGCGGAAGAGCTGATGATTAACAAGATGGCGCTTGTTCAAGCACAAGGATCGCGAACAGTCCCGTTCCGCTCTGCTTGTTTTCACGATCAAAATTTCTTACAATGGTGGAAAGAGTTTTGTTGTAGTTGCATGGCCGCTGCGGTCTATTTGTAGTTGATAGGTAAGCGTAGATGAGTACAAAGATATGTATTGATTTCTATACAGGAAATCCATGCATTTCGTCAGCCTGTCTACATCCATCCATCAAGCTTTCTTCATAGATGTGTGTGTGCTTCTTGTGGTAATGTCAGGTAATGCGATTATGTTCAGTGATTCATACTACTCATAATCATCTTTAACATATTGAGCTGAAAAATTATTTATACATCTAACAAATCAAGCGAACAATTTATTTTTATGCATCATAAATCCCAGCCGAAAGTTAAAAATATCCCCTGCTTTCTGAAAACGCTGAAATATCTGAAACACAATTAAAACTCAAGGTCCTGTGTGCGGAAAGGGAAACAACCACAATGTACCAGACTGTTTTTTGTATATTTAATGAATAATGTTTATGTACATGGACGGGTTAGAATTGGTCTTCAGTAACCCATGCTTGTCGTTAGAGGCGACTAACGGGATCGGATGGTCAGGCTCGCTGATTTAGTTGACACATGTCGTCCTATCCTAACTGTGTAGGTAGATGCTCATGCCGTTGATCAGTGGATTGTCTGGTCCGGACTCGATTATCATACTGTCGTTAGACAACAAACAACCACAGCAAGCCACACACGACTTCATCTACAACGTAACCTTTAGTGTTCGAGCCTACTATATATAGGAAATCTATACTCCAACTTGATTCTGTTACAGGAGATAACACTTCGGGAAGTAATTAAACCGTCTTCTCAAACTGCGTGTATCGACTAACAACAATATAGACCAATGCCCTTGGGACACATATGCCGCGGGTGAGTAACAGCCGGCAGGCAAAATAGATATATTCACACAGCTGGCACGATTTTAACAATAGGCTCGCCAATTGAGAACCACGAAATACCGCTATTATTGATTAACCTCTTGGCGTCACTAGATCCTCTGATTTCATGCAAGTGAGTAAAGTGAAAATGGGACAATCCTTGTAAATGTTCACTCTGTTCTCACTCGTCGTTGACAATGGGGCAATACACGGATCTCCCCCGGTCTTTCTCATGTCGAGCTGCCTTGAACTGTATTTTTATCCATTTTGTTTGCAAATTGATATCTTCTGTTCGCAGTTTATGTGATATCTGCTTTTTCTTTCGTGGGTAACTGTGCTGCATAGCTTGCTCTTTAGCATTGAGATGTGTTTCTCAACTCGCTCCACTAGCAATTGAACTTCGCAGCTGTCGAAACTTTTGTTTCTGTTTCAACGTTTTGGCGGATACGGGATGGCCTAAAAGTCGGGCCGGGCCGGGCCAAGGCGGGCCAAATCTATTATTGGCTAATAAACCCATTAACGAAAATCATGCCTACAATTAATCAATGCAACATACACTCATGATAATAATGATCAATCGGAAGCCACAAACGCGTACCATAATAACTTTATTACGAGTAAATCGGCTAAAATCCCGGAAGACGAGAATCCTGTGAACTGGCTGACCGAGGTTACGTCTAAAAGTGGAATCGTTAAACGAAACGGGATTTAAAACGTATAAATACTTCAGCCAATTCCGATACACATTTCCGTTGGCCCGAAAATGTTTTTACATCTATATCCAATCACATACCACCCCATAAATTCACTATTCATCGTATTTAAAACATGCCAACATTTAAATGATACGATCTCTTCCCAACACTCTCAACATTATCTCGGCCACAATTTTCCGCCCGGCTTGGCTCGAACCGTCAAGAGCAACTTAAACGTAACACACGTATCTTGAATTGTGTTTAATTCCATAGACTGGTATTATATCTACCTAAATATCGCTTTGTAATATTATAAAATGCCACATGTAAAGAAAACTGCTCCGTTAAAGTGAAGCCCTTGTCTCTCATTTTTCAACATAGCCTCAATCAAAAGTGTTTAGTCTCTGTTCAGCCCGACTTCGTCCGGGCTGTCAAAAACACCCTAAACCTCACACATGTATCTTGAAATGTGTTTATATCCATAGATTAGTGTTATATCTACCTACATATCACTTCTCAGAGTCTCAAAGCGTAGTATTTAAAACAGAACAATTTGCTTCGACAGTCCATAGAGAATTCAGTTTTCTTTCTTCAACAAAAGTTGATAATGTTGAAGTTTCTTGAAAATTATTATTTGACGTAAAACGTCATATTGTAAAAGACGGTCACTTTTAAACACACACACACACACACACACACACACACACACACACACACCCCACACGCCCTTATAACGCCTTCAATTTCAAGAATGAACTGCTCTGTTTGTGCTGTTGAGTCGTCGCGCCGTAGTCATAAGTTTTTGAAAATATAATCAGTTCGTTCGTTTGTTTGTTTTTCATTTGTTGTGTGTTGCTTAACGCCAACCTCAGTAATATTCCAGCTATATATGGCGGCGGTTTCTGTAAATAATCGAGTGTGGAGAATGAGCATCGATCTACGTAATTGGAATACAATTACATGACTATTGTCCTAACCAAGTCAGCGAGCCTGACCACACGATCATGATAGTCGCCCCATACAACAAGCATGGGTTGCTGAAGTCTAAGTCTAACCGGACCTTCAAGGGTCTCGTATATAGAGAGTGAGCAATGCTGATTCATGCCTGTGATACCGATATAATGACCTGGTCATTTATTTCACCTTCCCAATGAAGCAGGCGCAGTGAGGTAACCAGGTGCTTAAAGCCTTCTCTTGTCATGCCGAAGATTCAATTGGAAATGTGCTTCTATAAGATCCTAAAACATTGGTGTGACAATGCTCACACATGTTCAAATGACAAGCAGACTTTTATTTGACATTTTCTTAGTTTGTCGTTTCAAAAATGATTAAAATCATGACTATACATGTGACTTAAATAAGTGAGAAACACCCCCATTTTTCCGAAATCTGTGACAAAATATACATATGAGAAATATGGTGGCCAAAGTTAAATGTTGTTATCATGTTTCTTGTTAATATCATTTTTGTGATGTAACCATACACCATAATAATTTATTATTTTCATTCTTCTTGTTATCATGTTTGTAATATTTTCATTTTTCTTGTCACCATATTTGTTATGTACCATCATACTTGTAATGTTTTCAATTTTTCTGTTATCATGTATTTAGTGTCACCATATGCTTGTTTCATTTTTCTTGTCATTATGTTTGTAATGTACCAACATACTTGTAATGTTTTCATTTTCTTGTTATCATGTTTGCAATGTAGCCAAATACTTGTAATGATTTTCTTGTTTTTTCATTAATGATATCATGTACTTGTAATGTTGTCAGGTTTTGTTATCATGTATCTAATGTTGCCATACATTTGTAATATTTTCATTTTTCTTGTTATTATGTTTGTAATGAAACCGAATCCTTGTAGTGCTTTCATTTTGTTACATCATGTTACCATATAATTGTAACGTTGTCATTCTTAAGAACATCTGATTGATTTTGTTTGTGCTCAAATATTTGAAAAACGTTTTCGAAAACCTCTATTGCCTTACCTTCACATTAAGTGTTATCAGTTCAGACATGCAACTGAAATATACAAATGTTAATTCTCATCCATATGAATATATCCGAAGTTTCAGTTCAAAGAGGTTTTGCCCATTTCTCAAATTATGCGTACCCCATTTAGGAACGATGGGGTAACCAAGTGGTTAAAGCGTTCATGACGACAGTCTGTGTTTGATTCCCAACATAGGAACAATATCTGAACATACTATTCTAATTTCACACCATTGTATACTCATATATTGTCTGCCCATGTTTGAGGTCCATGCAGGTAGCCAAAGTACTATAAATCCCAATGGTCTTCAGCATGGTGATCTACCTTCAGTTGCTGATGATCTATTGCCCATTTATATATTGCATTGTCCTACATTATAGTATAAGTTTTTTAGTTACATGCTAGTTCTATATCTATATCTGTGATACGCTAGTAGTTTTACTGTTCATCGTAAACAGTTTTATAGCTTGTAATAGTATTGATCTATATTGATATTACTGATAATAACGTGTTCACGTCACGATATGGCTGAAAAATTGCCGATGTGACGATGAATATGAACTCACTCACACTCACCCATGTTTGAGCATATTGATGAGAACGTACGGATGTACATATTTCGAGTGAAGCATCATTCCATATATGTAGTCATACAATACAATGACATCATACAATAAGATAACAATACATCAATACAATGAACAAAAATAGCCCTTGTTAGAATTGCATTTATTGTGTAAAAGAGGAACACCCTATTTGCTGACGTTCGTGACAATTAGTTAAGTGAAAATCAGAAGCAAACGTTTATTGCTAAGCAATCAGTTATACACTTAAAGAAATATATCTCCAACAATGTCCTACTACGCGTGTTACACGTGGAAGCCAATTTTGGACATGTATTTAGTGATAAAATATAGCATTAATGTGAAACAATATCTCACTCGAAAACGATAACGCTTCTGTCTGCCTGGTTGATACTATTGCTTGAAGAATAACATCGTGAAGCTTTGTGTTTTCTATCAGAGTGGATAGTGAAAGTTGACATTCGGATCTTGGCCTTTCATGAAACTACCAAAATTGTCAGAGAACGAGATAAGCAAAGCATTTGACCTGAAAAGTCTAGTATTCTGTGCATATAAACTGGTGTAATTTATTACCCCAGGATATCGTGTTCATGCCGGTCACAGTCAGCGGGGATTGTCAACGAGGCCACGTGCTACCTACTAAATCAGAGATACGCAAGCTTGACATCCGGCAAATGGCCCAGCTTTATCGCAGGTTAGTGAGAGTGAGTGAGTGAGTTTAGTTTTACGCCGCTTTTAGCAATGTTCCAGCAATATCACGGCCGGGGACAACAGAAATCCCATGTAAGTAGATCAGTCAAATGGCTAATATTTTCACAGATAAGTGGGTCAGCAAAATGGTCAATGTGTATCACAGGCAAGGACGTCAGACAAATGGCTATTCTTCATCACAGATAAGGTCAGACAAATGGCTATTCTTCATCACAGATAAGGTCAGACA